TGTATGTTGCTGCATTCCCTCAAAGCACCTTTCATAGAACCTGGTGGGTAAACCCTGTAATGAGCCTGGGTTTGTCTGCATAAGATTCAGCTTCACTGGACCCCCCCCCCCCCCCGTCAAATGTATATAATCCCAACCCAACGAGCCACTGCACAACAAGTGTACTATAAGGACTCTTTATTTCAAGGAGCACCCCAGATTCCCGTGACAGATACACCTGCCAACAAGCCCAGTGTCTGAGGTTTGAGGGGTCTTCAGTCTCTCTCTCAGGTTCCTACTTTTCCTCTTCTTCTCCTAAAAGTTGTTTAAAAACTGAAAGAGAGAAAAACTGTTAGACAGAAAAACCTTAAGGCTGCAGACACAACCAAGATCTCAGCTGCCTATCAAAATTTAAGCCAATTAGACAGATGATACACGGACAGATGACGTTTTTTTTTATCACTTCTCAGCATGAATTAAAGTCCCCATAGTTTTCTTTAGTAAGCCCAAATCGTACCCACATGCTGTAATTTACTTGTGTCATGTTATATTTTCTGCTATTTTAAATGATCTGAAAAGCAAATTTATACAAGACTGTTGACTGCCTCTTGCTGATAATGTCTCCACATGGACACCAGGCTATGTGCTGATGCTAATGCAGTCAAAAGATTTTTGGTACTCCACAGCATTTGGCTGTCCTAAGCCAGTCAGTTTTGAAGCGAGGGCCTCTTCATCAACAGATCAAGAGGTGACTTTACTACAGCACACTCAATTTCGAGAAATTCTGACCTTATTACTAAAACCTGTTAGTGCTGTGTATTGGACAACTTGGCATCTGGAGATTGTTTGTATGTGTTGGAGCTATTCAAGAACAAATTACTGGGATAGGCCAGCAGGGGGCACCTGCTTCCAATGCATGAATAGTTTGCTACTGTTATTTTGCAGGCCTTGGTGCCCAATTCCTCATAAAGTCATCAGATCCGAACAATTTTGAAGTCTACAAGACTAGATGTGTTATATATCCCTGGCAGGGACACTTTGTTGTATGAAGTAATATGAGAGTGATGAATCCAATTAAAAATTAAGTTTGTAATCTACACTCTCTCACCACTAGTTGAGGATCACATTTGTGTCCCATTTGTAGGAAAAAAATTAATTTGTACAGGGCAAACTACTGTGTGAAGGTAGTCATAGTCCCTCGAATGTCTTCTGTCCAGATCAGATTGTTACTAAACTATCACGCAAACACTTTTTTCACTAACTCAGCTGAAATAAGCAAAGGTGTCTGTCTGAAAAAGCAGCTGAAAGTTTTCCATTAATTTTGTTTGAACAAAAAAGTGATTTGACCGCGCACCCAAACCTGTAAGGATTGGGGTGCTTAGCCAAACATTTAAATATTTACTCATTTGTCAGACGCTTTTATCCAAAGCGACTTACATTTGAGGAACAACATACAAGCATCAACAAGCATCAATACAGCACGAGATCTACAACTGACAATGCATACTAGTAAGGGCAGCAATAAGTACTAGTAAGAGCTAATAGCACGTATGGCATCAATGGGGTAAATACCTAGGGAAGGAAGTAAGAGTTAACAAAAAAGTGCAATCGATACAAGATAATTGTAGGGGATAGAAGAAGAGAACAGGAAGTGCATGTTAAAGGTTAGGAGGTGTTATGAGAGAAAGTACTCTTGGAAGAGGTGAGTTTTCAAGAGCTTCTTGAAGTTACAGAGGGACACCCCTGCTCTGATGGCATGTGGTAGCTCGTTCCACCATCGTGGTGTCACAGATGAGAACAGCCTGAGATTGCTTTGTGTGTAGGGATGGCAGAGCAAGGCGGCGTTCGTTGGAGGAGCGCAGTGGCCGAGAAGGAACTTCTCGCTTGTAGGCCTACTAGGCTTCTAGGCTTGTAGGCCTAGATGGAGTTTAGGTAGATGGGTGCAGACCCTGTAGTCACTCTGTATGCAAGCATTAGTAACTTGAATTTGATTAGTAAGAGAAGCCATGCAAGCTAATGATCAGCCCCAGTGAGGTGGTGTAAATTGATAAGAGAATGGGCCCTAGCAGCAAGCCTTGGGGCACCCCTGTGGACATTTTGATTACAAACATTACAACAGGATAAAAGACTGAAAGTAGCGGTATTAAAAGTTTATCTGTGAGCTTTTGTGTTGTTTGTTCTGTTCCTCTGTTTAAAACATAGTTATATATAAAGGTAATCATCAGGCTAGTTTGACATCCTGTATAATTAATTTCACGAACATCTCAAGTGTATTCACAGTATACCGATATTCCTCTGGCTCTGTTCTGTCTTGTACAGAAGATCCATCACAGCAACAAAGCAGAACAGACACCTGACTGAATTACTGGACACTTTAGAGCCCCTTAACCATTCATCAGTAACTGACATTATGATTGGAGGCAGTCAAAGCTTTGAAACATGTGATATGCACAGTAACCATTAGTTCTGTAATGGTTTCCCTTGCTTGTGATTGCTGTTGCTTGAATATTTACATTTTATGTCAAAATGATTTAATGCTGAAGGAAAATTATGACATTTCCTCTGTGCATAATTACCAACTAGTTTGAAGAGAGGCTAGAAAATGATCTTGTTAATTTTCTCCTTGAATATAGACTTCATTAACCAGGTTTGTGCTTCTCTGCTGCTTTTGCAGTACACCACTAGAGGGAACACATGCTTCAGTGTTTTCTGCTGAAACCTTCTATGATAGAAATGGCTGCAGATGCATCTAGTGGTTTTGGAGCTTCAATGCTAAAGCTGCCTCAAAAACTTTTTTATTTTCCTTACAGGTTCAGTCAGCGGACTGGCATTGTATGCAACTTTTACCAGGGTGATGTTTGAAAAAAGGAGAAACAACCAAAATTATATAAATATTTATTTGCAACATCAAAAGGTGTACACGGAAGAATAAAGTGCTTTGTACTTGACATTTTTTTCTTCTTCTTAACTTATTTCAATTACTTCAATAGATTGCTTAGTGCATGTTTATCTCCCAACGGGGATTTGATTCATACAAAGCATCAAGCAAAGAAACCATGATACTTTGTCTGTTACACAAAATGGCATTTACAGATGTTGTTTTCCTGTTCTCATGTTGGCTACGATTCTGCGCTCATGTTGAAATATGAACTAGCTATACACTTCAAAATACTACAGAACGACTTTTCATACACTGCCAGTCAAAACCTTTTAAGCATTGTATATTTATTTCACATTTTTGTGTTGATCTTCAGCAATTTAATAGTAATTTCACATAGTTCATAAAAGTAAGCTGTAGTGTACCTATAAATGTTGTATGACTTTTTCGTTTCATTGGAATAAATGTGTCACCCCCGTGTAATAAAGCACTAATTAGTGCCAATTAGGATCTGAGAGCCCACCAATAGGTTATGTTCATAGCAGAACACTTAGCAGAAAAAGCACAGGTGGAGCTAATGATAATGATGATGGTTCAGTTCAATTTAGGTGTCCCAAACATTTACCAGTGAGCCAGTACGCACAACCAGGGTTCAGGGCATGCAGGCATTTCAAGAAGTACTTCGAGATGTTTTCACAAGCTTTAAAAATAAACATTAATGTGTTTGGATCCCTCAAGACATTCACTAAAAAGAAAATGCCAAGAAACATAGGGTATCTTTGAACAGCTAAACATCTGGAAACTGGACAGATCTCTGATTAAAATGTTCTGGCAGTCCTGGTGTACTGTTAAAACCATAGTATCTAGACATCAAATGGAAAACATATACATAATATAGTACACATACAGTACAGCTGCCGCTTACAGAGGCCTAATTAGAGTCATTTAGGTTGCTTACAAGTTACAAGTTACATATACATACACTTATAACAGTTATGTGAAACACATTTATGAATACATTGCTTTAGAGTAAACTGGCTGGCAGTGAATGTCAATACAGCGCTTACATATGCTTGATATGTTCCTATTATCAGGTTTTGCAATGAAAATTTAAACAATATCCATTTTTAAATCTAACACTCTTGAATGCTTGTTGCTAAGATCCACACAAGCTCAGTTTCTATCTCTAGCACAGCCATGTTGATACAAAAACACAAAACTGCTGAAGCAATAAAACCAGCAAAAAACAAATTCATGAATGAAAAAAATAAACAAACAATAAAAGTCTTTCAAGAATGAGAGTTGCAGTATCATCAGATCAAAAGGTGAAAGGGAAAAATACATTCATTTCACATCCTAATCGTTGCTGTCCACATCATGGCCAAATGGTATTTAAACATTTGTTGGTTTCAATTCTCTTGAAGTACCAGATGAGAGAAACTTGACACGTGGAAATGAGATAATGAGTAAAATTAAGTTTCATCACAGGTATTTCAAAATCAGGTAGATGTACTTTATCTATGAGTGATATTCTTTTATTTGTACCATATACCACCTGCCTCTAAAAGGAGGGCAACTGTTTTTTTATGTCATGTATTTTACAACCACCATTACAACTTACTTCAGAAGCAATTTTCCTGACATACTTTATTCTCACTGCCCCAATCCAGTGATTTATTGCACATTTCCACACACTGTACTACACCTGCATCCCTTTGTTTCCTGCTGTCACAGTGGCTTTTTGCTATCAAAAACAATGAGTACACTTAGGCTGCATGCACCCCAGTTTCCAAATCATGAGTCAGAGACGCTCTAATTTCCAGCTCCAGACCTTTGGCAAACAACAGCAGCACAAAAGCTTCTCAGCATTGTTTGTTATCACTGGCTGCAGCCTCCACAAGAAACAAACCAAGAAAAAAGTTTTGTCTATAAATTGCTTTATATTTATAACACTAATAGATTAATATTACTTGACTATTTTTAGTACTTCTAATTTAAAAGAAATATTTGTTTCTATTATATATAAAGATATTAAGAAAATATATTTTGTTTTAAATAGATGCTCTTAAAATTCAACTTTGTTTTCATAAGAAAAAATATTTTTTAACATAAGATTAAAATTCAGAATAATACTCCTCCTGCTACACCAGTGATTGCACTTGGAATGGTCTTGGTAGTTGGTACACTCTTCACTAATGAATACTAAAACCCCCAAATTAAGGGAGATTTTTCTTTTGACAGGAAAATATTTAAGAAAAGTCTCACAATAGTGCAAATAGCAGACTTTGGAGGGAACTATTGCAGGCAAGGTGACCACTGAAGTCCATGAACAACATGGAGATTATCAAGCATAAATCAACTTTGATAAAAATCTTGACTGTGTAACCCTTGATTTCAATCCTCTTCAAAAAGGAAGAGAATTACACCAAAACTGCTATTGCGTTCATAAAATCTCTTGTTCACAGATAAAAAGGAAATTCTTTAATAAAGTTACATTTTTCACAATTCAAAATGCAGCCTAAAACATTTCTGGATTTGTTCTGTTATTGTGCTTTCCTTTGGTTATGAAATCATAATAAAATGTAGCCAAAACTCGTCAATGTTTTGTCAGAGATTCTTAGTCCTCCTGCAGAATCACGCTGGTTGATCATTATGGCTCTTCAAATAATGCAGTTACATGTGCCAGAAGTTATTAAAGAAAACAATGTCTTCTTTTTCTTAATCTCTGATCCCATTGGAAAGAAACAAACACATATAAATATAAAACAACACTGGCAAGGCAAAGGGGGTTCACATTTCTGTACATGCAGTCCAAAACATCACCAAGACATTTTCAGGTCCAACTGTAGATAAAGTTAAAAGGATTGCTGAATAAAGAGGAACACAGGACTATCCACACTCCCTGCACTCTTTAGATATCTTGCTCACTCTTATAGGTCACAGGATCAAGAGGTATGGCAGTCTGTAGAATGTCAAACTCCATCTGGTTATTGTCCATGTCCAGAACACACATGACGTTGTGACTGCCGGATGTCATGGTGGCAGTGTCCTGGAACATATTTTGGAAGTCTACAGCAACGGAAGTCCTCCTCTCCTCTGCCCTCTCTTTTCCTACAATCTGGGAGGAGTCGAAGATGTCATCGTCTTCCTCCCCACAGCTCAATGCTACCTCGTTCTCATAACAAAAGGCGCTCAGCGACCTGGGAATTAAGTCTTGTGTGGTTCTACATGTGGGAGAAGCGGCAGATGAAGCCCGGCTTGCAGCCTCATCAAGCTCTTTGGCGCTGAGGTGGGGAGTTGACGGCACCTCATAGGTCTTGTTGAAGCGACCATAGTCTACCTTGTAGCGGTCTCGGTCCTCATAGATCACAGGCTCAAACCTGTGACCCCAAAAGATCTCTCTGGCAAGGTAGGAGCTACGGAACTGGGTGGTCATAGCCGTGGCCTCCACCATCCCCTCCAAGATCACAACAACCTCAAAGTCATCTGTCTCCAGATCAGCTCGGCTTAAAGTATACAAGGGGCTATCTTTGTCTATCTCATGGACTATAACCAGCGGGGATACTAGAAACAGCCTGTCTGTGCCCTCATCATAGCCCACATTCAGGTCCATCTGCTCCAAGGGGAGAAACTCACCCTCAGCTGTGACATATGAACGTATCAGCTGAGCGCGCACATGAGCCTCCACAATGTGGCTCTTCCGCAGGTTTCCCACCCTCCACATGAGGCACAACTTGCCGTCACGCAGGGCAATGACAGCATTTTTGGAGAACACAAGGGTCTGGTTTCTCTTCTTAGGCCGCGCCATCTTGGCCATGATGGTGCCAATCATGAAAGAGTCAATGATGCATCCCACAATGGACTGGATAACCACTGTTATCACAGTGACAGGGCACTCCTCAGTAACGCAGCGCCAGCCATAACCAATGGTGGTCTGGGTCTCCATGGAGAACAACAGCGCCCCAACAAAACCCTGGACATGAAGAATGCAGGGCATCCTTTGCGTCTGCCCTCCACCTGTGTGTCCAGAGGTGGGTCCATACAGCCCCCCAACCACCAACCCATCACCCTTCAGCGTAGGTAGCTCCTCAAAGTCCCCATGTGCCAGGGAGACACTGTAGAAGATAATGCCAAAGAAAAGCCATGAGACCATGAAGCTGATGCAGAATATAAGCAGCAGGTATCTCCAGCGGATGTCCACACAGGTGGTGAAGATGTCAGCTAGGTACCGCTGCCTCTTTTCCTCCATGTTGGTGAATAAAACATTACATTGTCCATTTTTCTTTACAAACCGGCTCCGTACTTGGCCGGAGCCCCTTGTCAGAATCTTCCCATTGTAGTTGTTCATCCCTCCTTGTCCACTTGTGCTGTGCGCAGCAGCAGAGGATCCCGACCTCCTCCTACTGTCTTCTGTCTCTGTGTCGCAGGCCGAGTGCAGTCGGACGCTGGGGGAACCGTGGCCGTTATGGAGTCCTAAGGTAGAGATCTTCTGGCGTTCCTCCTCTGGCAAAAAGGCTGACACAATGCTGTACCTGCCACCAGAAAGGGGGAGAATAGGATTCAAACATTTGGTTAAAAAAACATGGTGACATTAGATTGACAGAAATAGATAACAGTAGGAGATTTAAAACTTTTCTTGTCAAGTTTAGAAATGAATGTGGTCATGTGAAGTTTCTACTGTGCTAAGGCATAGTACAAACTTACACAGACAATATTAGACATTTGCCAGCATTGTCTTCCACTGCCGAAATGACGGACCTGATCACAGCTTCAGAATACTTACAAACTTATTTATTTGAATGATCACTACGGTTTTGTAAATCAATTCCTCATTTTAAGGGAGAAACCTGACCACTTTCTAGGTGTTTCACTGAAATGTTCTTGAGTCAAATGACATCCCAAATGCTGTGGCTCCAAACCATTACCATTACATAGTTTTAAGAGAACTACAAAATGTATGAATAAAAATTAAGTGTGTAACAGTTTGGTGTTGGAACTGATAAAAAATCTATATCATTCAAATTGCAGTTTGCACAATATGAGAAAGAGGCAAACGAGAAGGAAGACAGCTTACAAAGCCAGTAATCTTATTGATCCCTGTGTACTTTCCAGTGACAGGGAGATAGGAAGATAATACCTGACTCATTATGAATACAAGGGATGTGAGCAGGAACAAATAAGAAACAGCCAGCCATGCAGTTTAAGGGGAAACTCGTTGGTCAATACAGTAATACAAGATGTCTGTGAAACCTCTCATTCGTCCAGGTCATAGTTGTCCAAGGAAGGTTAGAATTAAGGGCAACTGGACTGGCATTTTGCCTCAAATTCAAGAGGCTGCTTCAGTTCAATAATAAAAGTTGAATTTAACTCCCAAACAGTCCATTTGAATTGACCAAGCTTTTCACAGTCACCTGAGTGTATTAATCAACCTAACCTGTCTCTCTCCTTTGCATGGAGGATTACCGGCTGGGAAGGTTAGTTCAGTTTAGCTATGTGAGAAGGATTGCTGTCATCACAGATTAAAGGATTATATCTTCATCAGTGTCAGTCAGACAACCCATTTTGACATGGGCTGATGTATATGTTACTAATTATATGTAAATTAATGTTAATTAATTTATGATCATTCATTAGCCCACTGATAATTGAGAGATCGGATGTTTGAGATTGGAACTTTGCTCCTTTTAATGAAAAATCAATGTGTTGTTTAAAGTTTTTGTCTGGTTATGGCCAGTGCCTATGTTTTGTCACTGAAATCAATCTTTATTGTGCCATGAAGGGAAATTTATTTTATGTCAAAACAAAACAGTTGAGACAACTATGAGGTAATTAAACACTAAGAAGCAGTTAGACAAACCAAAAACACATCAGAAATGCAGTGGTATAAAACTTTAATACTATGTTAATGTACCAGGCTATTAATGTATTTATTGATAGCCATTATTACAATACAACATCCTTCAGTCAGTAACAACAAGACAAGAGCTGGTCAGGACAGTGTAGGCCTTGGCCTTTTTAAGGACCTTCTTACTGTAAATATCCCTTAGCTGGGCCTGACTCACCCCGACTAGCTCACCAAATTGACAAGCCCCATCTTACTGGCCATGTTAACATTTCCGGACAAGACAATTTTAAAAAGGATAAAATAGTTTCTGTAAGGCTGTTGAGATGCCCTTTAAAATCATAACTCCTGTACAAATTAAATAGATTAATAGATATCCTAAAATAAATAAACAATAGTCCAATGATTTCAAATCAGAACCGTTGTTTAAACCAAAAGCAGTTTCCCGGAAAATTCTTATTAATCAAATTTGTGCAGTAACACTGAAAAAAAAAGTAACATAGTGCTATGGATTGTCATTCGAGACTCAATCAGATCTTACCTTAAGTTCAGTGATACAAAATGATCTAAGTTTCAAAGGAATGATAAAGGAATGTTAAAATTCAAGAGTAGATTCAGGACTTTATAAAACTCATCATGATCATTTAATAAAAGTAAGAATTAATTGCACCATTACAATCCAGCTGTAGTCCTAGACAGGCAGCAGCTTCCAGATTAAATCTCTCACCTGCTGGACCTGCTTGTTCCCATGGCACCAGTGATCACTGATCTGGGTCCTGGCTGGTATGCCAAACTCTGTCCTTCTCCCAGAGATCAGGTCTCCACCGTGGAGGTGGTGCTTGGACCACTGAGAAGGACCCCTGCAGGAGAGAGAGAGAGAGAGAGAGAGAGAGAGTAAGAGAATCAGCCCACATCACTTCACGTAGGATCGCTATAATCAAATAACAGCAAGTACACACGTAGCCTCTGAAGTACTACTTTAACTTATTCCTGCCCTATCGTTCTTATCACTTTGTTTCCTTGTCTCATCTTCCTTATGTCCTACTGAACATTTGTTATACTTGTGATCCTTGTTCTTATATTCTGTATTTTACCCCACTGTATCTTATTACCCATGTGGTTATTTATTTTTGAATTTTATGTGTGATTTGTTGTGAAGCACTTTGTACTCTGTTTGATAAGTGTAATATAAATAAAGCTTATTATATTATTATAATTTACAAAAGTACAGATCGTTGATGATCAGATTAGGAAGGTGCACTTCAATGTATGCAAAACATGATTCTTTCTTTAACTTTTTTAAAACATTGTTTCATCACATTTCATCTCCTTATTTACTCAAACATTATACTGTGGGTCTGTATTTCTAGTCTGGCTTCTGTGTGTTGTTTTAGTGAGCAAGATGTGGATTACAACGTAATCCTGATGTAATTCTGCAAAACGTCTTGAGGAACAGTGACCCTGCTCTCAACAAAGTTGTAATGTTGTGTGTGGGTGTAAGTGGTGTAATTACAGGTAAAACAAAGTGTTATAAACCTCTCCAGCACTCACACAAACACTGTAAACAATACACTCCACTGTGACTGGATTTATTGAATTGCTATTGTTGACAGCTTTGTTTCTGTCGCTGCAAATCTAACAATTCAGAATCAAAATCAGCACCACACTCATTTATGAGTTGTTCACTTAAGCACTTTTGGTGTGACAGCAAGTTGGAGTTCTCAAAGTGCCATACAATTAGCTATCAATACATGTGACACAATTTAATCATGCGAGTTTCTTTGTGTAAATGTCTTTGCTGGAACATTGTTTGATGCAATCCACGTTGAGTTCACTTCATCCTTATTTAAAAGATATTTACTTGTGATAACAGCAACTCAGCCATCAAAACCACCAACAAAAATAAGGATTCCCAGATTTGAGCTAAATTGCTGGCTGTTAAAAGGTTCACTGGAGCTTATAGTCACAGATGGACAGATGGTTTTAATTGAACTGATCTTCCACATTGTCTTCAACATTCAAACCAGATGCAGGTTAGGTTATTTCTGGATTAAAAAGAGTAGTATAGAAATATATATATATTTCTAGTATAGAAAAAAAAGACACATCTGGCACCTTAATAGGCCTTAAAAACTAGGGGGAAAGTGTGTTCCAGCACACAACTTCCCCAATGTGTAACAGAACAAAACTGTCTTTCTAGAACACATTTTCTCCAGAGTCTCAAATGACATGAGCCAAGCTCAAGGCTTTTTATTTTCTGATTACATGATTTCCAGCCAGAAATACATATATATTTGTTTTACATTTCTGTATAAATAAATGCAGATGATTTCTGTATTACAGTTGTGCAGTCATTTGCTAAATTGTAGGAGGTTCTCTTATGAATCCACTACCATCATCAAGCAAAGCAAACCAGCTCCCAGGGACAGCCCTGGGATCATCAACATGGTTTAGACTTTCATTTTTACTCATGCTGATTGCCTTCAAACCACTGCTCAAAAACATTTCCTACAACACATCTCACAGTAACTAAACATGGCAAGTATAATATCTGACTTCTGCTAAAAGGGTCATTGAGTCACTGACATTGCATTTCATTATTTAAATGTATTAATTTAAAATAATTGCACATAATCATTATGAGAGGATCTATATATCATTGCTTCTATGCAATGACACTCATACAGACATACTTTTATCTATATCTGTACTTACTGTATGTGAGGATTTATTTTTTCTGTTTTGCATGTGGTCTGTCTCCATACAGGTGCCCTTGGCTTCCAACCAACAACACAGCTGTGAAATAAGTTCTCACACATCTGAGCTGTATCTTCAAATGAAAGATGCAACCAGCCAACATTCCATCATCAGTGGTGACACCCTTTTGGTGCAAAGTTTTTGTAACATCTAATGAACCGAGAGGCCAGGAGAGGCAGAGCACAGGTACAGACATGTTATAGCAGAGATGAGACACACACACAATACAAACCAGTTAATGGTCACCAGGTAAAGCAGGGGACATTCAATGAAGCCAGTTTCCATAGGAACACATCTCCTCTGGCATTTGGGGGATGGAGAGAAGTGGAGAGAGTCACCAGAGACACAGTGGTGTAGGGGGGCTAGTATACAGTATTAAGTGCTCTCATAACATGAGTCAGAGAGGGAGGGAGAGATGGGATGAGAGAAAGGGCGTAAGGACATCAATGGAACATCGACATTTGATTTTAAGTAGATCCTCTGTGTCAGAAGTGGCTCTTAGTGGAGACTTTTCTGATCCATATTTCTGAGTGAGAACACAAATGAGGAGAGAAATATGTTTGACTTGGGTCAAAAGCATTTTTAAAAAAGCTTTTATGGTTCGATTATTTTCCTAATGATGTACCAAAAAACACTGATCAAGAGGTTTTCCTTAATTACATATACTACATATATTACATATATTATTACATACATTACAATACATATTTAAGAAATCACACGTTTTTATACAGTTTACATTTCTGTAAGCTTTACTTTTGTTTTTTTGGGTGTTAAAGGTCCAGATAGATTTTAGATAGATTATTGTTTTTGATTTAGGTTTGGGGCTGTAGAGAGAAGTAGAAAAAAAATAGAAGAAGAAAGTACATACGTGTCTCTACAGATTAACAGTAATACCAGAATGATTAGTCAATTCATCTATGAGCATATTGACAAAAAAAGTAATCAACATAAATTTTGAGAGTCAACTGGTTACAGCTTCTCAAATGTAAGGATTTGTTTTCAGTTCCTCAGTTTTTTTAGTAAGGTAAGGTAAAATAAATATTTATGATTATGGACTGTTGGTCTGACCTTTAATATTTTTCTATCATTTTATAGACCATAAATATTTCTGTTGATTAAATGAGTAACTGATATGAAAACAATCTTTAGTTGCAGTCCTACTGTTTGTACCACATTTGCGCATGTCCTGTGTACATACTGTACACTGTACTTGTGTATGACTTTGCAGTGTTTTTGAAGTATTCTACTGTGTCTCTGCATCACTGTCTTCTCCCTTATCTCATAAATCACAGATTAATAGCCAGTCAAAATTTCTCACACTGAAATAAGAAAGGTAGAGTCGTTCTGTACTGAACAACTTCCTGGAGATTTCATGATTGTTAATCCAAAAGAAGCACAAAGAGATAGACATAAACAAGCAGGTTGGTTGGGGGGAGTGGGATTAAGATGCAGAAGTGTCCTCTTCCCCTAAAGCAGGGGTCAGCAAATAAGTCTGACATCTGGCTTTTTCATTTCCCTGAGGAAATTCAGGGGAATCCAAGTACACCTTTACTGACAGCTTTTTCAGAGGTGTGTCAAGTAAGCCAGAGACTCTTTTGAATGTCCTTCAGAACTTTTCAAAGTAAAAAGCTCTCAATGAACTCAACATGAAGCATTTCTTCAAAAACGTTCTCATGCTTTTATTTTGTGCCTCCAAAATAAAAGCATGAGAACGTCACTTAAGAGGAAGTGAGTTTGTGAGTAACTGTTGTTGTCATGACTGAGATCTATTTCTTCATCAGCTGCTATCAATTTATTAATTTTTTATTTTTCTGCTATCAAAGCAATATGGCCACGGGCCAGATATTATTGCTGGTGGGCCAGTTCTGGCCCGCGGGCCGCCTATTGCCGACCACGGCCCTAAAGTCTTTGGTAATCGCCCCTGATGAGACACACTATTGCATCTGCCCCAAAAAGATATTTTACATCCAGTGTGAATACCAGAGCTTTAAGCCCAGACATGGCCTGGCAGATATGGCATCTAGTTGAGCAATTATAGCCTACAAAGTGATCTGAGTCATTTTTGATTATATGCTGGTAGCATAAAGAGAAATTAGCCTTACTGTCTAAAAAAGGTTTAATTTCCAGATACAGTCAAAGGCAAACTAAATAGGCTGTTTTCTGCCAAAAAATGAAAATAAAAGTAAATCTGATTGTCAAGATGATTGTTAGAAAAGTACAGAATAACCTAGTTGCATAAATGTAGTCTATTAAGAGAAGCACATATTTGCCAAACATTACTGATGTTATTTATCCCAGTTAGGGACCTGCTGAGTCCATCTCACTATAGACAGATTCATGCTACATGCTGCTTGGATACTGGGACTGTAGGTGACAGGTTCACTTCACTTCCTTCTTTTGCCTTTGCCTTTGTCAAACTATCTTGTACTATGTGAAAATGAATCAATACATACCCTGGTTTCACCTCTGCTTGTCACGAGCCAACCCACAGAGAAGTCAGTGCAAAGAATTATTCCCACACTACCATCAAATCCCAGACAACCTCCGTGTTGGCTTCATTTCAGATGTTCTTTTTCCATGTTGTCCAATTTTACTCTTTGCAAAACATATTATATATGTGATAGATCAGCTGCTAATACAATGTCCAAATATGTCCAACTGTAAATGCTAAATTAGTGAACATTAACATTTAAATTTAAATTTTAAAGTGAGAGACTTTCCTCCTCAGGTCTCTATTTCTATTTGCAGGACTGAATCATCTGGACGTTTGTTTACAGACAAAGGCCGCCACCATTACAGCTTATGCTTACAGCAGCTCAGCCAACATCATTGTCAGTTTTATTTAATTTTTTTATATAGCTCAACATACCGTACCTATAACTTGTAGGTTTACGGTATAGCTACTGGTCAGCTTTTGGGGTGAAATATCTCATTGTAAACATTTATTTTATCTTTACAGTCGTGGTCTATGCTGTTTTTCTGAGTGGTCCTGAAAAGGCCATAGGACTGTCTGAAAAAGATGGCGTCACAGGGACATAATCAATATGAGATGGATAAATAACGTTCCCTTGAACAATGAAATTGTTCTTTATTCAAACATCTATTCAAAGATCACTTTACTGGCAGGTTCCTCTGTGATAGACATAGATAGTTGTATTAGACGTTTCGCTTTTGTTTGTGAGTAAAGGTTTTCTTACAAATGTGTTTGGTATCTAACTTTATTCGTTTTTGTGATGATTAAGCCACAAGTTGATGATTTATATTATCTGTCATCCTTCTGTCCTTTCATACCTCCCAGGCACCAGGTATCCCGAGGCCTTTCCTCCCTCTTCTAAAGGTGTACATGTCAAGCCTCACCAGTGCCATAGAGATTTACAGTATGTGATAGAGAAGTATGGCTGTTCACTCGATTGTACACGACACAGCAGTTCCCATGATGCCCGGGCGTCAGTCTGTCTGACGCAGTGCTTATTTTGTTATGGTAACTGTGAAAGAGCGTACCGTCTGAAGGTAAGACTGTAAGTGCTCTTAATATCTGTCATCTGGAGTGCAAAGTTGTGAAATGACTTAATTCAACAAATAAAAAACTGAATCCATCAAGTTATTGTTGTATACATCTCCTGATACTGAAATACTATTTGTAAACTGAGCATTACTGATACTCACCCTGCAAGTTAGTTGTTGTTTTCTGTCACTTGGTTGTAATGTGTATTCCTTGTGTACCACCACTTCACTTCTCAAAATCCCACTTGCACTGTCCTGGGCAAAGGTCCCACATCCTCACATTCATGTGGTCTGTGATCCTTTATTTTATTCTTCCTCTCTTTTTAGTTTCTTCTTCATCACTTATTCATTCTGTTATCCCTGTTGTTTCTCTCTTTTAATCCGTTGTTGTCCTCCGCTGCCTCCTTTGCTGACTATAATCCTGTCTGTGTGCGCTCTCCTGTGCATACTCATGCACCCTGGGCTAAAAATGCTGTGTCAATCTCCCCTCTGCAGAGCATAGGTTTGGGAGGGAGGGAGGGAGAGAGGGTTGGATGGAGGAGGAGAGGAGAAAAATAAGAGAAATGGAGTAAAGAAAGGCAAAGAGACAACAGGAGTGGAGTTAAGACTACTGTGGGGCTGCCACTTTTTCCTGTGCTCTCTAAGCATGTGTAGGTGTTGAATAATGCCTGATGTGCTCATGTAAGCCTGTGAGAACTCATTTGAGTCATGATTTTGTAGGCTAACTCTCTTCGAGGAACAACAGAGATGATACTGTAATAGGTGGGAGATGAAGAATATATGGGGGCTTGGAAATCAAGTGGTTGAGCTGCCATCATAGTTTAAAAATGTGCATCACCACAGTGATTACAATAAGATGGGATTGTTACTGTAAATTGGCCTGTAGACATAATCCCTTTACATTTACTCCCTCACAGCTGTGGATTTTTTCCAACCCCTTATCGCTGGTGCTGCAGTTAGATGACTGTCAGTGCATGTCAGCCACTCAGCACAGTCAAAACTCCATAACCCCGCTCATCTGTTAACACATGTTAAATGCCACATCCACACAGGGTTACCAAGGGAAGAGAAATGCCAGTTTGAAGGTTTCAAGCAGCGCAGTTTTTCTATCCTGCATCATTCTTTGCTGAATTGCACTTTAACTTGAAGTGCTGTGATGTTGCAGTGGGCTACCTCTCACATATTGTTCTTGTTCCATTGGATGCAAAGTGGGAAGGTCATTCTTTGGTTATCCTTTGACTGCACAGTGTCAGGCTCATGTGACCCAGGGCTGAGCAGAACTTGTGGATGGTGAGCAGCTTTGGAGGATTTGAGTTGTTGTGTTGTTGATTTTTAAACTGTAGTGATAAGACCTGTGTGAGACATGTTAAGCATATGAGTGTATACAAGAGACTTTTATACACTGTAAGCACATTGTATTACGAGTATTATGCTGAAGTACCTTTAAGCCCACCTCTTGGTTTCAGCTGATCCAGTTCATTCAGTAAAATGGTGGAGAATGACTCAGCCTGTATAGGCTACAGCTGCATTTGCTGTTGGTTTAATGATTGTTGAACATTTTATACCTTTTAGTGAGGGGAGTGTGTTAGGGGAGAAGGAGAGCGAAGGAGAGAGAGAGAGATTAGTTTTATTACCACTTAATTGAATGGTCATGATTGCATTAATTCTTGTTATGTTAAATTCAAATGTAAACTTTGTGATTTTGCTGTAAACCACTTTGGCAACATTGTTTAACTTAAACATTCATGCCATTAAAGTACATTGAACTGAACTGAACTGAGAGACAGAGAGACAGAGCAACAAAGGTAACCAGTCAGGCGCCTTCCGGGGGCCACCTGGGCATATGTTTCTCATGCACATTCAGGGCTGCTGTGTAAGGGAAGCTAGGTGCTGAGGGTCACTGGCAATTGGCAATTCTGCAGTAAAAGACTATGATCCAATAGTCTTTAATGTCACAACACCAGTGGTAAATGTAAGCAAATAAAAGTGAACAAATTTAATCTGTAAATTTTTTATGTATAAATGTGGTGGAGTTAACATCAAAACGGTCCCTTCTAAAATACAGTGGAGTTAAAGTCTCCAAAAAGGGAGTGAATGTACTTTCCAACTCTGTTCATTTCAAACTTCATACAATTCTTGACGATTCTCAGCATAACTTTGTGTGCTCCCGCGGCCATTCTGCTGCTAATGAAGATTGGCACAGTGGATTATATATCTATTATATGAGCTATGAAGTGAGCTAACCAGTTTCTATGGAAACCGCACCGCTCCCCTCCTGCCCTCGCCCACAGCTCCCCTTTAACCCCCTCATCGCACCCTCCCTCTCCCTACCTCTTACTCTTCTTCCCTCCCTCTCCCTTCTAAATTATAGAGCAAGGGGGTACCTCTTTTGAAAATCTCTTCCTCTGAATAGGGATGTGGGTGTGCATCTGCTCATATGACAAATGCAGAGAGGAGGAACGAGGGGGCGGATGGAGACACAGCGCTGTAAGTAGTGGCAACAGTGAGGTAAACAGAAAACACAAACTTAGAGGACAGACAGAGGGAGCTTCTTGGGGTAAAATGTACACATGAAATAACACTTGAAAAGGTCTGTGTAAGTTGTGATGTGAACAATGACATGACAAGAACTATTCAAGGGTCAATTAACCATGACGAGGATGTGTGAGTAGTAATAGGAAATTATAGTGTCTAATTCAGTGCAGTTTTAGTGATACACACGGACAAACACATAAAGACAGAGAATAAAGCCAGACCACCACTGAAGGGACAGCACATCAGGTCACACCACCAAAAGAGATCTAAACATAAATGGTGAGTGCATTGCAAATCAGCCAATGTAAACAGTAGACCCAGGATACAGAGATGAGGTGATGTTATTGACTGTTGATTGACCAAATGATTGCTTGAATTATTAAATGTCTTAAAGTTGGAAATAAATTGGAAATTCTATGTTAGGATTTTTTCTTTATCCTGACTTTCAAACATGGGCTTGTAAGAGACCGTTTCTGGTCTAAATCTGGTAATAATTTTGCTTGTAACCATAGCGTGCGCAGCAGAAAATGCTTCTCTGGTGCTGCATCCTGCAACCCAAAATGGAGAAAAATTAACTCTGTAAGTTAATCACAGCCTTCACCAGATATAGTGTCGGGCTCACAGCTGAGGGGAGCCTTTGTCAGACACTAAACGACTGGGTACCATTACAGTAAAAAAGATGGGCTGTGTATGGTGGAAAAGGAACAGACAGACTGATCACACAGTCCAGCATCTGAGGAGGAGATGACCAGGTCGACCAGACTGTGTGATTGTATAAATAGCCACTAATCAGGTTTGGGTGTCAGATTAGTTTCCATAACCTTTTGCTGAGCACATGCTCATTAGGCTACGGGAGCCTATGTATGGGTCAGCTCCGTCCTGTCCTCTACAGTACAAATGTCTGGAATAAATCACCCATAGGAGACTAATAAAGCATAATTGTCTCTTTCTTCATGTTCTTGCTTGCCTCTTCCTCATTTATTTATAACTCATATATGAACACTTCCTCATGAGTTATACTCAACTTGAAACAACCTAGGGGTGTATAAAGAAGCTGTGTACTATTTGCTGGTGTGCGGTGCCCCCTCACTTCTGCACCACCACAGATGCACTCGAAGTAGGCTGAAACCATTTCCTCTCGGGTTCCCTGTGCTGATTTCACTGCATCAGACATGAGAGTAGGATGTGTGTGATGCCCAAATTCAGCTGCAATTTGTGGACTTAGAGGGAGGACGAAGGAGGAGGTGGAGACGGTGGGATTTGATAGGAAGGGAAACATAGTGATGAGAAATAGGGGGCAAGTGGTTTTAGGTTTTGACAGTGATTCAGGCAGCAGGATTAGGGGGAAAGGGATGCAGGTGTAGCGGAAGTATCTGAGAACTGTGAAAACTGTGAAGAAGGGTGGAGAGTATTTTAAAACACTGAAAAGCATGTGTACAATGCTACAAAACATGTGACATTGTATGCCTGTATGTCTGTGGCATTTACCTAAAGAGATAATATTCCATTGCATTCAACAAAAAAACGTTTGTGCTCCTTCTAAAAACCTTTGTTGCATCTCTCTCTTCCTTGTTTCCTGTCATCTTTCCACTATTGTGTAATTTTCCATTATCACTATGTGATAATGGAAAATTTGTCCCCCAACATGATAATACATTTGACTAATTTTAGACCAACTGAATAACTAAAGAAATGATTCAGTATTTCTCCCACACAAAGGCTTTGGAACAGTATTTAGACCTTAATGGTGGGAAATAAAATGGTAAAGCTTCATTTTACTGGCTTGTGATTTCCTTATGACCTAGCAAGTATGGTGACCAACAGTGATTTGTTGTTGGAAAATAAAAACAAAGTTTTGAGTTGAGTAAAAAATGTAGCCCGTTTCAGTTTATTTTTATTATTATTTTTTTTTTTAAAGAATGGTGTTCTAACTCCTTATTGCTTGCAGCTTGTCGCCATCTGTTGTTATTACAGGGGCTGTACTTCTTAAGGATGGTCCACTGTATAGCTGTGCTGTAGCCCGTTCTCATATTTGCATGAAGCTGGCCAGAAACAGTCAAGCAACACATGAAAATATTAACAGACAAAACTATAAGGTAAGGTAAATCTTTTTATCCCTGACGGGCAATTTGTTGCACATGTAACCCTGATTAACTGAAAAGTGAATTAGAAGTGGTAATATGGCTTTAGGATTTTATTTCCACAAGGGGGCGCCCTTAGCGCATATGTAGAACAATTCGCCATGTTTTCTGAGAGAGGAAGGAAACAGGGTACAGAAAAAAACAGCGTGAGATCTTTTTATATACAGTCTTTGCGTGAGATGAGAGGAGAGCAGATGAACCACGGTAGAAAAGTCGAGAGCGAGAAAAGTACTATTAAGCCAATTTATTGTGCTGAGATTAACATACTTTGAGTTAGCCAATTTCTTTAAGTCACTGCATTCTTCTACAAGTCCTGGGAGGATCGTTTTTGTTGTTCTGAAGATTCTCCGGTTGGTTTTCTGTGACTTCGATTTTAAAGAGAGAAACACATGCATGCAAGCACGAGCCAGACAGACTACAGCAGGACAACGTGGAGCAGGACGTCCAGTCTCCCATCGTCCATCCTGTTCTGTCATCCAGATTTGATTCATCCATTGGATTCTCTTTCACGTGGATCTCAGATAAGCAAAACAAAACAAAAGAGGCCTCTAACATTTGAAGAAAAAAATCAAACTACCCGGGTAGATGTGGACAGTGAAATGTTTTTTTTTTCTTGAATTGAACTGAACTAAACGGGGATTTTGCATTTTTTGTCTTTTATTTTGGGAGGGGATTTTGTGATCTCATTGGAATGTGTACGATATACAGTTAAACTGAGAGACTAGGGTGTCTTATTGTGTTCCTTTATGTCTGTGAAATAAATGCCGGCCATTATTATTTTCTAAGCAAAGTCGTTGGGCATTTACTTCCAATTCCTCCTTTCCGTGCCAAGTGAGAGTAGGCCTATTCTATCAGCTATCATTCATGCCTAAACTGTTACACACAGTCAGCAGTACAATCAGCACGGTAAACAACACATAAACCATTCACACACAAAATACATAGAAATTAATCAATACTGTTCAGAAGGCTAATAGCAGCTGGGACAAAATAGTTTTTAAATGTAGGCTACTGGTTCTGCACCTTGGTAGGTCACGACCAGATGGGAACAAGCTGAACTCATTGAACAAGGGGTCAGCGAGTTACAAACTAAACTTCACTTTACAACCTGTTGTAATGACAATTAAACCCACCTACCTAAGCCTACCTTGTTTGACTGGACATTCTTTCTGGTTCTGACTTTCTGTATTTGGGAGAGGTCAGTCAGACATTAAATAACGTTGTATGAATTTAATCAGGAATGGGTCATCTTTATACAGTATATTGGTAAGGTTAACAATAAAATGTATAACCCAGCTCCCATCAAAAGACCGCTTTTTGAACACTGTCAATTAGGCTAGAGGAATCAGTAGAACATTTCTTCACCATCAAAAGTTCTCTCGAGAACGAGAAACATTAAGGTGGGAACTCATAAAGCTTGGACTGAAAGATTTGATTCTAAAAATTATATTTGACCTCGGGCTAGGGAAGCTATTCCATTATTTCAAAGAAACTGGGTTAATCAATAGAATTTAGTGAGCAGTGGGGGTTTTTTTGTTTGTTTATTTTTTTAAGGGATAGAGAATGCTGGTCCACACTAACACACAGTAGGTGATGGTAATGCACCTTAACGCTTGTTGCCACCCGCCATAAAAGGTAATAAAGAGGAAGAAGACCGCGTTTAGACATTTGTATTTGCAAATGATACAAATGTCTCTGCACTTGTAAATACTGTTTCATCCCGTGTTGGGCACAGACCTGGCACATATTTGTTGTTGATTGTTGATCTTTGTTGTTGTATATTTTTATGTTGTCAGTTTTTATATTTATATGTACACAATATTCTCTTCCATTGCGTTACTTCTGCACAGCACAGACCCAGAATAATGCGCATGTATAGATCTGCAATGTTGTTCTTATTTTCTACATTTATTTATGTTGACTGAGCTCTCATTTCAGCCTCTCTCTTAAACAAGCAGTAAAGCCCACTGTGTTCTGATTGGCCGAGATCCTGAAGCAGGATGATTATGCGGCTCAGCAGTACAGACAGTTCGAAGCATTGCCAGTTGTTACTGAGTTACATAAGACAGAAAATATAAGAAGCCTAATGAGTCTCCTTTAATGTGTGTGTGTGTGTGTGTGTGTGTGTGTGTGTTATGCATACATGTGTACTGTGTGACAGAGAGACAGGTGGACAATGAGACTGAGACGGACTGTGAGACCGAGACACAGGTGGACTATAAGACTGTGAGATTTGTCTATTTTTTGTTTGGATAAAGTTGAAAAAAGTGACCACTTTGGCGAGTTAAAAAACTGGAACCTTCTGCTCTGGTCAAGAAAATTTGAGGAGAACTTGCAATGGCAGCCAATGGAGAATTTTCTATCACTCTTGTCCTTTGGAAGGACACAGAGACAAATCTATAACTCCGAGGGATTTAAAAAGCCCATGTGAGGAACCACAATTAAATTTACTACGTTTCTGTTTTATTATTATTAAATTATGCACGAAGAGTTAAAATTGTGGTCAAACCAGCGAGTTAAAGAGAAAAATCTAAGAAGATTTTCCAAGCCTGCTACATTGTAGTGATGATGTCACCCACTCTAACTCACGCAATACACACCCATTATAAACTCAGAAAAGAGCTCAAAAAAGCATAAAACTTCGACAGCGACCGTGAACAAACCATAAAACATATCAAAAAGCGGAATCCATCATTAATAAATTAACTTCTTGTGACCAGTTTACAGTGTAAATCAAGTCTGCAGCTGATCTGGTGAGCTTTCAAAGTGGAGTAGGTATGAGAAGAATTTCGACAGTCTCTCCATTCACATACAATGAGAGAATTTTCCTGGAAAACCTTGAATAATTTGAAAAGTATTCAAGGTATTAATGACAAAAGTAATAGCACCCCATTCCTCATTGAGCCTGACAACTTGGAGTTTGAACGGAGTTTCTAGTCAAAAGCTGTAGGACTAGTTAGCGCAGGAAAAAACGTGACGGAAGAATCATAATAAAGGTTAGCAACAACATAGGGAACGCTGCCCAATAAAGCTCCTTCTGATTCTGATTCTGATTTTGACGACTAATTTGAGTTTTATTTTGAAGAACCGGAACCGGATACCGTTGTTTGACCGAGGAGAGCTTGACGCTGGTCGTTGCTGTCGGAGCCGTCAGCCACGTCACCTCCTCGGAAGCAACTTTCTTCTCAGACCACTGCAGACACAGCTAGCTTTGTAAGTGGACTCGTATCTTTGGAGTTTAAATAACGAGCCGGACAGAGTCCACTGTGCAGCTGTTGGCTTCTTTTAGAGCCTTGTAACTCGTCTTTGCACTCTGAGGGCGTGTTTGCTTTTTGTGGCTGAACAGCACTGCCCTGTCTCTTGAGGACGTGTAACATTAAAGGCCCGTGAGGACTTGTATTAAAGTTTTGTATCTAAAGCGGAACATAGACAACATGAACATCTTTCGCCTGGCGGGTGACGTGTCACATCTGGTGGCTATCATCATCCTGCTGCTGAAGATATGGAAGTCCAAATCCTGTGCTGGTAGGCTGACACTAACACTGACACCACTTTAACTTTAGCAATATGCATGCAGTCCTACGGTGTAAATACACAGATGCGATCGTTTTGTAGATATCAGTCGAGTGATTTGTGGAGGCTATTTGCATTATGCTGAGTAGTTCTACATGAGTGGAAGCGACGTGGCAATGTAAAGCAAACAACTGCCTGCTTCACCTATCATACAGCAGCCTACAGCTTTAAAGCAAAAGTTGCAAAAAAAAAAGTCAGCAGCTCTCTTCCTTTGCTGTTAAATTATAACAATGGGGGAAACACAAGATTTTCTTCTCACCATATCTGTGAGCAGCCCTGGACCTAGAAAGTGGCCAGTCTTCTGCTGGGGTCTGCTGCTTTAGACCAGACAGTGATTCACCTGGTTTTATTATTTTGCTTCTCTCCTCTGTAGGCATCTCTGGGAAGTCCCAGATGCTGTTTGCAATGGTCTTCACCACCAGGTACCTTGACTTGTTCACGGTCTTCATTTCTCCTTACAACACGGTCATGAAGGTAAGAGTGTAGGGATCACACACACAGTATCACATGTGGCTGTGACACTCGTGCAACACAAGCATCAGCTCACACAGCTCAGATCCAGGCTCACACACACATATGCAGTAGCTATGCAAAACAAACACTGACCATTTTAATTACTAACAGTGTTTTCATGGATTTTCATGGCCAATGATCAATATTCCTCTCTGCTCTCAGGTGGTGTTCTTGTCTCTGTCCTATGCTACTGTGTACCTGATCTACATGCGCTTCAGGAATACGTACGACTCTGAGAATGACACTTTCCGCGTGGAGTTCCTGTTGGTGCCAGTCATCGGGCTGTCCTTCCTGGAAAACTATTCGTTCACCCCACTGGAGGTAAACGCACCCTTTCTTCAATACATTCACAGGTGTGGAAAAGCCTTTGATCATAAGATCACTCACGGCTGTTAAACATGCAGCTTGAGGAATTTATGGTCAGTCCAAGTTCAGCTTTTATTAATGTTCCATATATAGGCCACCACAAACAATTCACCTCTCTTCATTTGTGCTTTTAACACCTCGTTTTAAAGGTTCAACTTCAGCATAACTCATGTGTCTGCCTCCCACTGATTCCATCCAGATCATGTGGACCTTCTCCATCTTCCTGGAGGCGGTGGCCATAATGCCACAGCTCTTCATGATCACCAAGACCGGCGAGGCAGAGTCCATTACCACCCACTACCTGTTCTTCCTTGGCCTCTACCGAGCCCTCTACATAGCCAACTGGGTGTGGCGTTACCACACCGAGGGCTTCTTCGACCAGATCGCTGTGGTGTCCGGCGTCGTGCAGACCATCTTCTACTGCGATTTCTTCTACCTTTACGTCACCAGGGGTGAGTAAAGAGATTTGCAAAAAACATTTGGCTGTGGAGACTTGTTTTTTTAGCTCAGTGGGAGAAGCCCATGTCAGATTTTGTATTTGTTTACATAAAGTCTTCTTCTTGGCATTGTTATTATGTTAATGTACTAATCTGCAATTCACAGGTATTTAGAATTTTTCTTGAGTAATCCACAAATCATCTCATTTATGAAACAAACAAAAGGAACAATGAGAATTGCTCATTATGATTTACAAGAACACAAATGTTTGTCTTTAGTAGCCAAAAACAGCCAAATTAACATTTTCTGTTATAAAACAGAGGAATTGCTGCCAAATCTAAATTTAGTGTATGTTACCATGCAAAATGTTGATATTTTTCTTTGATAAATGACGAAGACAGTTAGCTGTTGGTAATGAAATCTGCAGTACAACTGACTTGAGTTATTTTACAGATAACTAAGCTGTGTGCTGTGGATAATATAATTCAAGGATTCAAAGGCTTTATTGTCATACACAGAAATGCATTAATGCAATGAAATTCTTAGTTCGCTTTGTCTTTACCTGGTGCCATCAGTTATTCTATGTAAATACCAGTAACCAAATTTAATCCATACAAATACAGTTTTTAACTAAAATTAATGTAATTGTAATGTTCTGTAAAGCGGATCGTCTGCCTGTGTATAGTTTTTCATCATGGTTTTCCAGTTGAGGATGACAGCAGTTAAAGCGAAGAGTATGATTGCAAGGCTATGTGACTAGGAGAAGTGTTTGGTGTTCACTCTTCTCACGTTCTTCCATTTGCTCTCCCTCTTCTTCCTCTGCCTGTCTGCAGTGCTTCGAGGACGAGGAAAGATGACCCTGCCGATGCCGGTTTAAAACAGACGTCTGTGCCGTTCAGCCGCCCTTCGGTGCCTGCTACAGTTCAGCATCTGAACACAGTCCTTGCCCTTCAACCTTACGTGTATTTAGCAATGGGACTAATGGTCTGAGATCAGTCTGTTGACCAAAACGAGTGCACCTCCAGAAAAGTGGTTTTCTATCCGATCGGTTTACTTTGTGTGTGTGAGTCTGTATGTTTTGCGTGTGTATGTATATGTGTGCTTGGGGTTTTTATTTTTCTTCATAAGATGCGAAATGTGACACTGGAAATGTGTCCCTGATGTGCACGCGGAACTTAGATTCCAGCAAGTGAGTAACACTATGTAAATGATGTATTTGTCTTTTTATTTTCCATTGTAGGTTCTGAGACAGGCTTTGGCTCTGGAGACTGTTATTGTACGTAGCTTCAGTTTCCACACAGTGCAGATACAGACTCACTGTTTTCCTGTGTTCCTATCCAATCACCTACTTGGGTTTGACAATATCAGTCTTGCCTGTTGATTCACAGTAATATTCAGTAAATTTGTACTTCCACAAAATGTCTTCCTCTTTGGGTCTGTAATGTTAGACACTCCTTGAATATTTTACTGTATTATGTTTAAACATTTCTATCCTTATCGCCAAGTATGTTATGTTTTTGTATTTCCTCTTAAGCGCTTTGTCATTTATATTTCAATGTATTCCTTCACGGGAGAGAAAAGGGCTCAACATTTTTTGCCAGGCCTAAAATGAAAACAAAGATGGAACAGATATCTGCTGCAGTTTGTAGTTTCCTTGACTCAGCTGTCTTGTTGTGTCAGGGATAAAAATTGGGGAAATGGCATCAGAGCATGCTGAATTTCTATAAAAGGTGTTTTTTGACACTTAGTTTTGGTCAGTGAGTTGTTGTGAGTTGAATTGCACACCGTTTTTATGACATTTATTATAACGTGAATTCTCTCAAATCAAAGGTGTGGCTATGTTCTTTTGTTACCAATCCAGATGGACTGCAACACACCAGGATGTTTACCTTTCTGTAGGGAGGACAAATACATACATACATACATACATACATACATTCTTATTTAACAGTATGATCTGAAAGTGCTGGTGCGTTGTGCTGATGTTAAACAGACTGATAACATTAGATGTATGATTGACAGTGAAAACAAAGCTAAGTGACTGCTGACCACAGACGCCACAATGTCCCTGTTTCCTGGAAACACCTCATTAAATATGGTCATAGTCATCAGTGCAGGAAGGTTTTTCTGTGTTTATATAACACCTTGCTTCCCTCTCTCACAGCCCCTCCCACTGCTTTTGCAGCAGAACTGATGGACAGAGGCGATGCAGCCAGAGCTGCCGCCTTCTCCATCACCTTCACCTTCTTCACAGCTTTCCCTTTTCCTTTGTCTTTCCCCATGATCCCTGCCCCCTCTGCTGCACCTTTTCCCAGCGCCGTCACCAGCTCGCACCAGAAAAGCCTCTCCGCCCTTTTCCTGGCCTCTTCTTCCTCCCTCCTCCTCTCCACCTCTGGTCCCGGCTCTTGTTTGTCTTCAGCCTCCTTCTGAAGGGACTCCACTTTGTGTCCTCTTTCTCCCAGAATCCTCTCTTGTGCCCTTCTGATGGCCCTCTCAGCCTCCTTGAACATCTCACTGCTATAGCAACTGCCTCCATTGGTCGCCACAATGTTGTCTACCTTCTTCAGAAGCTGTCTGACCTGTTGTGAGCACTCCGTTGTCTTGTCCTGTTCACTATTATCAAAGACTTGGTACCCCCCATGGCAGCTGTTGACAAATTCCGACAGCTCATTGTTCTCTTCCAGGAAGTCCTCGATGCGTTTGCCCTGCAGCTGGTCTCCCCAGGTAAACAACGCCATGGTAAACCTGGCAGCTCCAGGTCCAAACATAGCCTTGATCCACTCTAAAGCATCCTTCTCCTCGTGGGTGAATCTGCCAGGCTGCAGGGTCACCAAGAAGGCGTGGGGTCCCGGAGAGGAAAGGACAACACACTGTCCCACCTCTGCCATGACCTGCTCAGGGGACAGGTGTGTGTGGAAGAAACCTGGAGTGTCAATCACAGAGATGCTCCGCCCGTCTACTGTCCAAGTCTGTCTGTTACACTGTGTGGTGACAGAACAGGGGGAGACCTTGACACAGAAGGCGGATTTGCCCAGGATGGTGTTGCCGGAGGAGCTTCTGCCTGTTCCTGTCCTCCCCAACAGAACAATCCTCACGGGTTCGTCAGCCTCTGCTGTAGGGGGTGAGGCTTCACAAACTGTGGCAAAATTACAGTTATATTACATAATATTATAACTGTATCATTAACACAAGTATAAGTAGCATCTAGCATATTTAAAATAGATATTCCAAAAATACTACATCATTTTCTAGGGAACATTTAAAATCATATTTTGGCAGATTTATGTATTGTGGACTATGCTGTTTGATTTTATATAGCATGTATGATATATTAAGGGATAGTAGGCTACAGTCACCAATCACCAACTTGCCGTGAGAACAATAATCGACATACCTTCATGTGACGCAGCATTTTCAGATGATGACATCCTAACAGAGAAGCTACAATCTGCCTTTGTCCTGACGGTTTTTTCGGTGACCTAAAATGCAGGAGACGGGTGTTGCCCTTGCGACTGAGATGTCCTCGTCTTTGTATTTGTGATTTTATTAACAGCAAACCGCAGAGAGCATCATTGCAGCTGCCTGCAGTCCGTGGAAGAGCAGAGAAGTGCTCCACACTGCCACCGCGACACTCCTGACATTATAACGCCGAAGTGAAGTTATCATGCAGTGAAGACCACCACACCAGGCGTCTGTTATTAAAGCGGCTCTTTACTAACATAATGACCACCAATACTGTTGTTTTTGTTCCGTGGTTAGTATTGATAATCACACAGATAACGAGTTCAACATTAGATTTAGTGTTGTAGTTCCGCACTGAGACCACTTGAGGGCAGTTCTACACAGTCTCTGGTCCAGACAATAGACTGTAGGCTAAATATAATATTTTGGCTAAATATAATATTTTGACTGAAAACCAGAGAAATAAACCATTTAAACGAGGCAGCGGTGTTTCAAATTTTCTGCCCAACGTTATAAGGGATTGGACAGGACATCCAAAGAGCATTTAGTATTTACAAAGGGTGGAACCATGGTAGAGACAGTGGTTACACCCTTGGTCTGGAGGTTGAACAGTAGGTTGTTCCATCAGAATACAACTTATCACCATTTTAACATTGCAAACCATTGAGGCATACTTATCAGTGGCGCTAATATTAATTAGTAATGGGAAAATTGCAATTGTGACAGTTAATGTCAGAGTAAATTGATAATGTTCTGCTTTGATCACCTAATCAGTGACTATTTGATGTTGGACAGAGTTGGCACTAAGTTAATTAGAAATTTAATATATCACACTTTGTAATAACATTTGTGTGATAAACGTGGACAAAGTACATCAACTCTGATTAGCATACTAATTGGTAACACAGCAGGGAGAAACTCTCAAAAGATTGTTTAACTACATTGTTTTGTTAAATCTTATATTCTCCCCCATGTTTCCGCTTATAAGACAGAGATGTGACATTTTATTTATCTCCAGTGAAACTGCTGTGTGTGTATAATTCATTACGTGTATTTGTCATATTACAACAGGGTTGAGATGTAATTTGTAGTTCCCTTTATGCTACAAAGCAAACAATATATTCAAAAACTCAGATTTTAGGAAGGATTTTATACAGAAATAAACTATTTTGCATGGTACAGTCCTGATGATGAATCAGTCCTGATGATGAATCAACTGAGTCTTACAGCCTGGGGGAAGAAGCTGCTCTGGAGTCAAGTGGGGCGACCGCAGATACTTCTGTATCTCTTGCCAGACGGTGGATGTCTTGTTGATGTTGAACAGTGAAATTACGCTGAAGTATGATGGATTAACATGGCGTTTTAAAAGTACCAATAAGAATGGGTAATGTGTGTGTTGAGAGGATGTCAATCAGGCACAGTCTGTACATGCCCACACACAGTCATGAGAAGAGGTCTACTTAGGTCACACAAGTTAACACCTAGTGAAGTGTACTCTGGGTGTGCAGGGCCTTTATTGACTGACATTGATTTGTTCCTCACTTTACACAAGAAGTAGAGAAATGTAGGAAGTGCAAACCACCTCAAAAATGAAACATGAAATACTAAAGCACTATGTGAAAGCCTCACAGGCAGTATTTAATGGGATTTTTTAACAACATTAGTTTGGGCACTTTAAACTCACTTACCAGTTTAATACACAATGACCTATGGCAATGCAAAATGTAAAACCCCAGTGAAAATAACCATATTTTGACTTTTGTTGAAAGGCACTGAGCTGCAAGGAAAAGCTTTTCCAAACTATTTTCTTCTCTTCAACTATATTCTATTCTTGTATTTTTAGTCTGCTAAGAGTACATAACTTAATTTAGCAGGTCTTTTGTAAAGAAACTACAGCAAAGAGGTTCAACTAGGAAAACCACCTAACTCTGCCACTCATCACACACACCTGAAATGTCTCTGTGGTAATTCCTTTAAGGCCAAACTTTTCATCCATTTGGCACAATACCCTTTCTCTCTTTCTCTGCAGCTCAGTTGACTGACCGGATGCTATGCAGGAGGTGGATAAGATACAGTAAATACAGATGAAAATGCTAAATCAACTCCAAAGCAAAGCTCACATGTTTCTTTACGCATTGATTTATTTATTTTTTACTGTGCATGCACAGTTTCCATTAGAGTTTCCGGATACCAGAATTGACAGAACTGGAAACTGGTAGGACCTGTAGCGGTTAATGTATAATCAACAGGATTATACATGTTGCTACTGTGTACTTGTTATGGAAGGCCATAAAGTGCACACAGGTAAATCAAAGAGAACAACAACTATTCAATAACACATACATTATTTCATAGACTGCAAAGCAAACTCTGCCATGTTACTGAATCGTATGCTTAGTTTGTTTACTAGCTCCAAAAGGCAGCAGTGTTGCTTTGTGCTGTAGTGAGTGATGGATATTCAAGTCATAAAAATTACTAGCTTAATTTTTCCACACAAGAAGCTCTGATGAACGGAACATTAGAAAAGATAAACTAAACAGAAATGTGCAAACAAGATAAATCATGTCTTTTTTTTCATTTCCCACATCCACCATTAGATCAGCTGTAACGATGTGTTAAATAAAGTTGTCTAGATATCACTTGAATTTTCCTCTACAACAGGTAATATTACCTGTGCAGGTGGCCACTGGTTGACAGTCAGAATCATGAAAATTTTAATATCCAAGCCTGTTAGAAACTTGAATTTTCTCACAGTTGGTCAACCATGTGCAGCCTACTGATTAGTTTTTAACTGATACAAGTTCAAAGCAGGCTGGTACTTGGGTCGATATCAGGATGAGCTATTAGAGGGTCTGTCCCACTCCACATGGTTTCTCGCTGGAAAGCATGCTCCCTTGCTGGAAACCTGCTCAGACTGTGAATCCTTTGGAGGAAAATCCCAGCTCAAAACGGACATGTCACCACCTGTGGCAGGAGACGCGGACATGTCTTGTCTTTGTAACACAGTAGTCTCACAAAGTGTCTCTCTCACATTGCTGCTGCTGTTATAGTGCACGCTGGCCTGTGACAGACACCCGGCTCCATTCATCAAGTTTGAATTCTCTAAGTCTAAGGCGATGTTGTTTTCACCAATCCCCAGTCCAAAGTTCTCTAGCATTTCCATCACTGATGGTGTGGACAGGCCACTGGAGGTATCCTCCTCAATAAGACTCAGCGTGGGCAAGATGTCCACTAACTCTGCCATCTCCATTGGCTGGATTACCTCAGTGATGCTGGAAGGAAAGTCCTGTTCCCCACTGTAGGCCTCCTGAGCGTCCAAAACTGTATACCCAATTTCCAACTGTGCAACAGCAGCAGGTTCCAGTCCAGAGTCGATTAAAACGCTTGCACATCCTGATTCTGACTGCCCAGCGCTTGTCAAGTCAACAGCTGATTGCGCACCAATGTCTACTGGGTATCCACCCTCCACCACGCCCTCCGTTAACACCAGTGCAGGCTCTTCAGGAACAGCCATGATTCCTGCAGGAGCGGCAATCTCAGCGGTGACAACATTTGGGGGAGTCTCGCTGACTAAACTCTCTGAAAGGTGAATGGGAAGACAAAAAGAAGTTAATCCTCAAATTATAGCAGCATTCAAACTGAAGCAATTGACAGTCACACTGAACTAAGATGGTGAACATGAGAAACATTATACCTGCTAAACATCAACATGTCATTTTGAGCGTATTAGCACACTTGTGTTACCATTTAGCTGAAAGCACAGCTGTGCCAAAGTAGTGTCTTATTATTACAACAGTCTTATCTCAAGTGGGAAATTGTATACTATGTCTTTCATACATTGTTTTATATTTAATATACAATATCTCTCTATGGTTCAGCCTGTCACACTTAATATCTATTGAAAATGAAAGTTATAATTTAAAAATTTTTATGTGTACAAAATAAAACTAAAATGTCTTATTTAACTACGATGTTAACCTTGATCCGTGCTTGTCTGCACCCAGATAATCACTGTACCTGTAATGGTTCTCTGTGCTTGTATCCGATGGGGCCACGTCAGTCTGGCAGTCAAACTCTCCTCTTCCTCACCATCAGGACGTGCAGGTGGGTCTCCTCCCATCACCAGGCCTAGAGGCACCGCCCCCACCCACTGCTTAGACCGAACGCACTGTAGACAGTCCATAATCCAGCGGGCATCCCTCCACACCACATCCAGACGCTAAGAAACAGGAAAATAATGTCATAATGTCTGCAACAAATGTCCAACTGGTGACTGGTCTTCAAGTGAAATACTCAAAATATAAAATTTCCAGGCTGCTACACACTGAATCCAAGTAAAAACCTTTATTTCTTATTCATTTCCCTTATCCCCAGAATAATTATAAAATAAGAGATGTTTAAAAAGAAAAGCAGAATAAAAGAGAATATTTTAGTCTCAAGACATCTAACATGTGGATTTTGCAACAGCAGCAGGGTCTGAGGTGGACCAGTATGTCGTACTGTCCTGTACTGTATGTTCACAAGTTCTTCTTTCAAGTATTCATCTGCTTTTATGATCTCACCTGGGAAAGCTCAGTGATGTGGTTCAAGCACTCTCGGGCTTCCTGCATCTCCCTGGTGTCCAGTGCCTCCCGCAGAGCCTGCTGGGCCAGATGAGTGTCCAGCTCTAGCCTCACCCAGGCCTGGCAGTACTGGGACAGGAAGTCCCGCTCATATGTCCAGAAGTGAACTGGTGATGAGCCACAGTTCAGAGGAAAGACAAATCGCTACATCAAAGCTGATAGAAGAAGCCTTGGAACTCATTAGCACACTATAGCATACCTTTAGCGTGGGAACTTTCAAGAACGGTCAAAAGGAAAGATGGATTTAAATTAGAGCCAATACAAATCCTAACGTGTGGATGAAAAGTAGGATCAAAGGCTAATTAGATAAGGAACAACAATAAAAGTGTCTCAATTTTCCAAAGTGTGCTTTACACACAACCAAACAGGCAATGGTTGAATTGCATTTCATGGGTTATTTTTGGGGTTATTTAAAATTCTTTCGTTTAGTCCCTATGAAGATGAGACACATTTAGTGATCTTTTCATGTAAGGCATATGAAATCACTGTTGTCACTTTGTACTTATGTGGTGATTCTGTTTTTCAAAACTTCAAAGGGACACCATGCTGTTCTCAGTAAGTACCCTGCCAGGTATTTCATCTTAACCTCAAGGTCCACTATACTCAGACGAATCAAATTTGTTGTTTGTTTTTTTTACACTTGCTGCCAGTGGCATAGCTTGGCTCCCGTTTTTGTGGGCTCTCTCTCTCAGCACTGCTTGAAAAACAGTGCAACTACATCTCGTATCTATGTTGCCTGTGCAACGTTAGTTCTCCACCTACCCAGCTCAAAGATCTGCAGGGGCATGGTGAGCCCAGGCTCCTTGGTCCCCACCACAGGCCAGTAGCTGGAGCTAAAGTCCTCACTGGGAGGCAGCAGCAGCAGCATGGACAGCTTGTCTCCAAACTGCAGCAGCTCCCGGGTGTACACACCATACTGATACGCCTGTCACAGACACAAAAATATGTCCAAATGTTATGAAAATCTGTTGTGGGCTACATGTCAAACTGAATTTCATTATGCCTGCAATGCAGTGTCATGATAAAATAGTATAAACACAGACAAACTAAACCAACTCAGAATAATATTCTCCTTTCTAAACAAATCAAAACATAACTGCTCACTAAGGAGAATTTCAAGATGGCTTTTTAAAACAAGTTTTACCCTGTAGAGGGGGATGTTGAGCTTTGTCAGAAGATGTGTGACTGCTGCTCTCAGAGACCTGATGAACTCCACCAGCCCGCTGCTCTCCATGATGCTCTCATCCTCGCCGCTCAACAGGTTCTGAACACTGCCATTGGTTGTGGTGTAAACATGACTCTGAAGCCATGCCCACTCCTCTCTGTCACACAACGATGATGCAGTTAACAAAACACTGCTAGAAAAGTCATAATGATAAAGATCTTTAGACAATAAGGGTAAAAAAAACATCTAAGGATCATATATGTAGCTTTGCATGTTGTGATCCATTAATTACTAATTGCATCGACCATTTTCCAAAGCATAACTTGCGTTTTTGGATTGATTTAAGCTTAACATAAGGTCCACTGCCTTGTTGGTGAAGGCTTGTGGGGAAAGTCCACCATCCAAAACTTGAAAGTTAGGTGCCAAACAGCATCCTTTCTAATGCCATGAACTACCACATTTGTCATCATTTTTAAAGCATAGAGGGTTTTCTTGAACACCTGAAAGCATACGACTAGTGTGGTATGGTATGATTTCTAAAATACTCAGCAACAACAAGGAATCATTGGTTTTCCAGCTACAATATGGACAACGGCCCTTTGGTCCTTGAACAAATCAGCGAAGTTTGTGATGGGCCTGGCACAGTATATCCCATATTCAAACTGTGTTACCTGGAAACGTGCGCGTTGTGTCGGATCCGTGTGTGGCAGAGTAGATTGGGCAGCCTCAGGGGTGCCAGGACCCTGATCTGTTCTACCGAGCTGCACAGTTTCAGGATTCCCACGTACAGACCCGGCTGGGCCCACTGAATGCTGTTCCTGTGGAAAGATAGTTTCTCCTGGAGAACAGAGAGAAGCAGGCAAGGGATTTTAAATGATGTTAATAGGATACAATGTTTAGATGCCTTTTATTTGCCGTGTCTCATTTTGTTTTTAATTAGCTAATTTGGTTTTGGCTTACAAAATTAATTCCATTGCATTTTTCGGGGTTATTTGAGTTGCACAGGAGAGAAAAACATGGCTCAATAATAAAGTCAATAATGAAGTCAATATACTAAATCACTGTACACTCAGTGCTCAACATGTTCTGTTGCACGTAGCTGCCGCTCGTTGTGTCTGTGATAATGGCTTTCTGTGTCTCTCTCTTTTATACAAACACAAACTCAGGTTCACCTTGAGTTGCTCATAGAGCAGGTCCATGGCAGTGGGCTCCGGCAGCAGAGGAGTTCTGCTGCGGTTCTTTTCCAGGCGGGTTAGGGGCATCCAGTGGAACGGAGGTTCAGGAGGGCTAGGAGCAGTGCAGACAAGCCAGGGTAAGAATAAAACGCAACCACATTGAGTCACCAATGAAAAACAGCTAGATTAATTAAATCAAATTAGTATAACGCAAACAACCGACCAACAGACACGCTGGATATCCTGAAAACATCAAGTTGTATTTGCGATAACTCAGCCTGATTAGGTTATTATCTCCCCCTGGGCAAGAGAGATTCTGATTTGGTTGACCGATAAACATTCAATCTGGTAGATTTTGAAAAGGTTCGTTTCATTAAAAATGTTTAGGACATGACTGTGAGCAGCTGAATGGTGAGTTGGAGACTGTCCTTCAAACAGAAGACACATGAAAGACTCTTTTGATGCTGTGTGCTTTTTGTGCGACAAAGAAGACATGGGGATTAAGAGAATGTTATAAAATACTCTCTCACCTGGGAGGGTTTGGGAACTCCTTCAGAGTCACCAGTAAGACATTGCCCTGCCGGTCTTTCAGAGGTTCATAGTACACCTGGCCCAGGTCCACTGTTGCCAAGGAAGACTGAAGGCAGGGAAAGGCAGAGAGGTAAAACAGAAACACAAGGATGAATTAATACAAGGCTATTAGGGATTAATGCAGTGAATCACAAGTTCTAGGGGTACAGGCAGGTAGCTTGAGATTGGGAAATGAGGCACATGTAAGAAGAGTAGGAGTGAGAAGAGATATTTAGGAGGTAATTAAAATAGCAATTAACCCATTTTGAAGCTTCTTATCATGCAGAGTAAGCTGCTTAACGTCCTACCTGCAACTGGGAAACAGCTCTTAAAATGTTGTGCCTGTTCTGAAGGAGGGAGGAGGGGGATGAGTGAGCAGAGGAAAGGGCCTGCTGGAGCCAGGGCACTTGTTGCCATGCACAGGACAACTAGAAGGGGGAAAAAATTACATTCAATTTTAAACTGAAATTCACACAGAATAATTACATTTGTTGAATCAACAAAGAGAACAATGGAAGACTTGTGTGTTTGATTATGAAAAAAAAATAAAAAATTCACTGACTATACATATATTTCAAATGGATTTACAAGTTACCAAAATCGTTTATTGCAGTATATGTTGAATAAACGTATACATGTGTGCTTCTGACAGCTCACCTTGGCAAACCAAGAAAAGTCGTGGGCGATGGAGGTGGGGCAGCACTGGATCTCCACGAGTGGGATTTGATCTTCAGCTGTAACCAGGATGTTTTCCTTGTGGTAGAACACAGTAGCCAGGTACGTGCCCCTAATAACATCAATATAAGATTAACAGAAAATGCATAATCTATGCAGCAACCACCTTTTTAAAGCACTGCTGTGGTTTCTATTTGTGAAATTACACCATTTCCTATCTAGGAACGGCCCTTTTTATACACTGCTAGCTACTGTGGTGAGTGTGATCCACTGAACGTTTGTGGCAGCAAGAAACTTTGATCAGTCACATGCCACATGCCTCAGTTCAATGATTTCAAACTTCACCCTGTTCAAAAGACCTCTTCTCTAATCTTGAGGCTGCAGCAGCTTTAATGTGACTACGATTCTTTTTCACTAACCGTAACAGATAAGAGTTTGGACTTGTACTTTGTAGTCTACACTGCTGTAAATGCATCTCATTTAATCCGTTACTCCCCATACCCTCAAGGCACAATGGGACAGGTAAAACAGATGATGCACTACCTCTGTAGGAGACGAACAAACTTGGTGGCGGACTGGAACAGTTGCTTGATGCCTCGAGACATAGACAGACGCTTGCTGGGACTCTGAGGCTTTGAGTTCTCTGTGGAGCAGAGGAGAGGAGGATCAGAAAGGATGAGAATCACTTGCTGTTATACTGCAGAGGAGAGTTTGTGTTTTTAAGTTAACGATGAAGTAACCACCAAATGTACAGTGCAAAAGAGCAAAAGAGGAAAATTGTGACTTTGCTTTATTGTATCTAATGGCAAATATGAATGTATTAGGACATCCAAATTGACAAACAAGGTTAATATGTATTTGTTTTCTTTTCATTGTGACTTAAACACTGTGACAGAAAATTTTGCGGTACTGTGGTGATAAATAAATACAGGTACACTCATATATGCTTGCTTCACAGCCACTGAAAACGTTATATATCCCCGGTGTCACCTATGCAGTATCCTCTGTAATGTGGTTCTCTGGCATCTTCCAGTAGTTTCCTAACAAGGCCCTCATGGTTTCTGAACTGTGACTTCACACCGATGCACTCTCTCCAACCTGCACAGGAAGAAAGAGAGAAACAAGTCTTTGCCTCCATTTTTATGCAATTATGGAAAAATCATTCAAGACATCAAGAACTCATTTGCAGGCGAGTCCTGAGTGCTGCTTTTTCCTATCTTGGTGATTAGGAGGCAAGAGCGATTGCATGAGAGACCATCTGTGTGCTCTGACTCTGAACATTTCGATGCTGATTCATTCTGAACGGCTGGAACTCCTTTTAAAAAGTTAGAAATTAAGTCAATGAAGTGAAATTGTGTTACCTAAATGACACTGCAACATGCTGAATATTATTAATGTCACTACTAATTATGATTTTTTTTTGCCTTTACATTGCATTTCAAGCACATATAGGGCTGGGCAATAAATCAATAATGATAATTATCGCAATATAATTTTCCTCAATAACAGTTAAAGTTCAATATATCGTCACTAAAGAGTTTGATTTAATTCATTTGAATCATGCACATTACAACATTAGCACTTAATTTTTCTATTAAGATATTTATTTGTTGAGGAAAAAATATTTTACTTAACTGTTTTGAATGTTCTTCCTCAGATTTGTTAAGTTATCCACTGTTTGGCAAGTTTTTGTCGTGATAAAATCTTATCGCCCAGCCCTAAGTACATAGTGTGGCAATTTTTGCATCACTGCACTGAATAGAGCAAAAAGTGGAAAGTAACAGCAAATAATGCAGCAAGAAAGAGAGAGAGGGATGGAATACAAGCAAGAGTATGAGCTGAATTCAAACCTAAAGCAGCCCAGGTACAAGGCCCATTGACTCATAGTGACATCTTTAATTCTCCACGTTTTAATAATTCATTAATCTACCCGACCATGAGTGGGTTCCACTTCTTTCACATCAAACTCAATGTCAGCCAAGAAGTTACTCAGGGACAGAGAGAAACAGAATGGAGCCCTTTGAAAGTAGTTATGTCCACATTCATCAAAGTTTGCAGTTCAGTATACTCACTGGAGGGGGCAGCGCTGACTGGAGTAGAGCACTGAGGCGGGCCCCAGCCTTTCACATTGTAGGCACTCACTCTCACAAAGTAATGGACTCCCTGCATTTGGAGAAGCACCAGACTGCCAAATTATCACCATGCATTAACCTTACAAATCATCCAATCCTGGCCAAAGAAATCACATACCACTCTCATTATTAATTCATCTGGTTAAGTAAGGCATTTGAGTGGGATAAGTGTTCTCTTCTTAGTGGTTCAGCACAATACATAACGATTGGGGAGCAATAAATATCATCTGTATGTAGGTCTAGAGCTAATGTGTGTGTGTCGTATGTTTGCGCATGATTGCATGTCCCCAAACTATTTAACTATGTGTGTGTTTGGAGTGAGAATCTGTGGATGTCCTGATGGGCGCTTGCCTGTGTGTGTGTGTCTGTATATGGTTACATGAGTGTAAGAAGGTACTGCCTGACTTACTGATGTGAGTCCCTTGATACTATGAGATGGGTTCTTGGTCTCTGTAACTTGGGCTGAGGCAAGGATGCGTTTGAAGCTGGATGAGGTGCTCCATTCCACTGTGAACACAAAACAATCTCACTGACAGATTATCCTCTGGCTTTACTCAAAGCCCCCATAGGGGAGAAGTGAGAGTTTGAGTGTTTACACTTTCAAGAACTTGTTGTACCTGGGCTTAATCTACCCTTGGCTACAAAGTATGACATTTATGCAGTGGTAAAACTAAGTAGCAAAAATAGAGAGACCAAACTAGATCCATAAATATAAGCCTGTCAGCCCAAAGAGAAATGTTGATTATATTATTCCATTATTTATCCATCATGTCTCTGTCCATGTTTTGATCATGCCTCATATTTTATTAATTTCCTTCCATCTATAATACTGTATATCATCTGTGCATCTTGTTTTCACCACCTACCTCTGTAGCGGGTGATGAGCCCCATGGTGTCACCCTCTGGCTCTTTGATTGCCACGAACAGAGAGGATGCGCTGGTCACCAGTATAGACACATGACTGGGAGGCCCAGGTAGCTCTGATTGGAGACAGACCAATGTTCAAAATAAGCACTTATTTCTGAGAGTAAATTATACTGAACAATGACTACAACAAGTATTGTACTATATATATATATATATATATATATATGTATATATATATGTCTTCTCAAGATGTTGTCTTATTGAAATTGACTTTGTTTAATATATATTTTCTCATTTTTGATTATAAGCATGATAAGCAACTCTCAATGGAACACAGATTAATAAGTTTGTTTTGAATTTTGACCTCCTTATCTTGGCCCTAAAACCAGGGTTGCTAGTAAAATTTATAGATTCTCTCCTTGGAGACACTGACTCTCCACCAGCTCTGTGGGAGTTGTTCTGTAGCTGATCCTGCACTCTGACCTGCTTGCATATGAATAGAGCCAGTGAAGTGTTTCCCCAGAGGAAATCAGCAGATGACCACAATATTACTATTAAAGTAACACTAACCTCATCACTAACCAAGTTAAAGATGAATTTCTGCGTGATCAAATGTAATTGTGACCCAAGCAATGACCCGGAGTAAATACATTAAGGCATAAGCCTCAGACAAAAAGACATTCATATTTTACATTTGAAGCACTTAGCTGACACTCTTGTTCAGAGAGATTTTCAACAAGAGTAAGCTTAATTTCACTGCACTGAGAAGAAAAGCTGGTGCCTTATTGCCCTTAAAATAACGCTTTTCACATATAACAGTCAGGGAAGAGAGCTGGAAGTGTTTATAAGAGAAATGAAATGAGAACTAAGGAGAGACATTTATACAGAGCAATTAAAGTAAGTACACTATCATATATAATTCTAAAGAAAACATGATAGCTTGAACTGATGGGGAGCCAGGAGGAGGTAAACGTAAGCAGGTTGGTGCAGGGGAAAGAAGGGTAAGAGGCACGATACAGCAGAACATAGGTTGCACCAAAGCTTTGGAGGTATTCCGGGAGTGGATTTCTGCTCATATATCAACCAGCACCTTGGCTTTGAATTTGATACAAGCAGCCACTGGCAGCCAGTGGAGGGAGCGTAGGGCATGGGAGTATTTGGAAAGGTTGATGACAAGGCAGTCTGTTGAATTTTGGATGAGTTGAAAAAGGCTGGAGGGAGACTTTCAAGAGGCCAGCTAGGAGTAACAAGAGTCCAGACAGGAAATCAGTAAAACTTGAGTTGGGCTGAATACCTGATCACTGTGGTCTGGTTAGCAGAGTTGAAGGGGTTTTGTAGAGGAGTATTGGGAAAAAAGTAGCTCTGTATTGTTGAGATTGAGTTTGGAGAAGACAAAAGCACGAATACCAGTATTTCTAGCAAGTGAGGACTGAAATGACACAAGCATGTGACCTAGTTTGTGTCTCTCAACTTGTGGAAATGCCACAACTTGACCCCAGGCCACTGACCTGTCTTTTGGAAGTTCTCTCTCATCCGGCAGTACAGTTGCAGCCTGAGGCTCCAGAGGCGGGTATGTCTCTGGACGTCAGCCTGTGCCTGAGGCCCTGCCCCGGCCTTCACCAATACCTCTTTCTTCTTCTCCTCCACTTGATTACCCGCCAGTGCCACCAGAGCATCCAGCTTAAGTGCCCACTCTTCTGGCCGGCACACTAAGAGGAAATACAGTTGAGAAAGATGGAGAGAGCAAAAGGAAGGACAGATTCTCAAGACGATTTGCATTTAATTTAAAGCCGAGCCTTACAAGAGCAATTTAAAACCATCCACTGCAGACAGAATTGCTATATTACTTATGATATTTTAAAGACTTACAAACAGGGTTATGTTTGGCTCCCGCCTTTGTCAACACATGGAGCAGAGGGGAATTGTGGGTAAGGGCAGCCACGTCCAGGGGGACCAGGCCCTGTTCGCTCACTCTGTTCACCCCCTTCTCCCCCTCTCTCTCCCAATCCTTCTCTTTTTTCTCTCCTCTCTCCCACATCGTTCCCCCTCCTCTTCCACATTTGGTGTGGTCTCTGGAAAGCAAGCTTTGTACAGCCAAAGTGTCCTCATTTTCCACAGCTTCCCAGAGGGTCTTGTACTAATGGGGAGTAGGGGAGTGGGTGCGGGGCCAATAGGGGGTGAGGGAGAAAGACAGAAGTAGAGATTTCATACCGAAGGAGAGATTTATTTCATGAGGTAAAGGGAAGGGAGTTGCTGTACAAAGAAAGAGGCAGTGGGTGAGACAGTAATACAGGACACATAAATCAAATCATAAATCAGACCAGGAGTCTCGACTGGGATAATGCGTTCATAGTGACACAGAGTCAGCTTGTAATGTCAAAATAAGATCTCATAATTTAAAAATGAAACCCAGAGGACAGCAAAGCATTTCAGCCAAAATGACTTATATCTTATATATCTTACAGCATCTGCAGACTTGCTGAGGTGTTTGGGGGCGTCCATTTCCCTGGCAACACATGACTCTCCACCCCTCAGTCTGACGGACAGGTTTCTATAGATGCGTTTGGGCGAGACAGGACCCATTGAGCGCCGTCGCTGGGGTGGGTTCCTCATAGATACAGACATGGCAGGTGACAAGAAGAGAGGAGAAGAAGGAGGATAGGAGAGGTCAAGAGAAGAAGAAAAACAGAGGAGGAGATGGAGAACGGGAAGACAGAGGATGGCTGAGGAGAATGAAGAAAAAGTGAGCGGTGTAACAGATTGGTTAGTTTGTGGAAAGAAAGATTAGGACCCCCAACCTAAGAGCCATAGAGAGGGAAGACAGGATGAGAAAAGTGCCATTTGAAACTGGGGAAAAAATGAGAACTAAAGGAGAGTATGAGGTGAAAATTAATGAGAAACCTAGAGGAGTGTTTGGGGAATGATGTGAGAAATAAAAGGCGGGGGGGGGGGGGGGGGAGACAGGATAAATGGTCAGGCTCACACAGATTCTTCTACAGTAAAGGCAATTTTCTGCCGAGGGTGAGTATAGGCTTAGCCGAGTAGTGCTGTTGTGGGGGTGGATAAATGGGTAAAAGTTGCCTGTACACAGTGGATGAAAAATGCCTTGAAGCATTTATTTTCTGCCTCTTACTATTCCCGCTTTTGTTCTTCTTTTACCCACTATTACGTGACACAGGTTTTATTCTCTCTGAATGGCATCTCTCAGTGCAAAAAGCAACTGACCCATTCTAATTAACTAAAGAAAAGCTCATATAGAGGTGCCAAAATTCTTTCCCTATAATAAATATGAATCTCCTCATATCATCAGCTTGAAGATACAAATCTGTCACCACCACTACAGTAATGATGGTTCATTATCAATTCCATTCCCTTTTCATCATTACAATCAACCACTTTTGTGCCTGGAAATCTGTCCTACAATTTTCTCCCCCAACACTTTTCAACACAGCAAAACACAGCCTGGCAGAGTTTATTCTGCCTTCCTCTTCAGTCAGCAAGTCTTCTCTTTCATTTGTCACTGTCTTTGTTCTCATTCCCTCTTTCTCTCCTCTCTTTTCATAGCCCTGCAGTTTGGAGTGATTTTCACGTCACTTCGGTTTACGTCACGCCCCGAGCATTCAGATCTGAAGAGCATCTTTAGAAAATGGGGATACTCGAACTCTATCATCTCTGCCTCTCATCACCACATTCCCATCTACAGAAAAGCCTTAAATTTCAATGTTTTTTATTTATTTATTTGATTGCTATCAAGTCAAGTCCTGGTGGGCTGAGTAGTCCACTTTTCTTGTGTGAAAGTGAATACTCCCCTGGTCGGTGCCAGCTGAGGACAGAATATGAGTGCTCTAGCCACAGTGACGCCACATCACTCAGTGACATAACCATTGTACTTGCTACCGCACAGTGTGACTCACTGGCTTGCATAGTACCTGCACTGACATATGTGGGGATGAGGGGGTACTGGATAGGGGTAAAACATTATTATTTGTACAGTTTCCCCTGTTTGTTTATCATGTCTTACATCAGTTGTGAAAAGTGCTGATGGAAAAACAGTTGAGAGAGGAGATTCGCTTTAGTGTTTGCCTTTTTTGAGGCAGCACAAAGACAAGACAAGGCAAAATACCTGGGAGGAGAAGAACAAAAGTATTTGCAAACTGTGAAAGTATTTCAGCTGAGAGAATAACAGTTATGTGAGCAGGGTAGAGTTAGGTGCTTAAAATGAACCTATGCTGACCCCTGAACTGAGATACATTGTACATTTATTGTGGTTTTGTTGCATGTCAGTACCTTAGGTTGTGGTGATGTTTTTTTTTTTTTATCTCACTACTGTGGCTCACATACTGAGCTGCATATTTGTATAGGCTATTTGCTTTGTCTATCTGTTAAATGCTGTGGCTCATAAATGCAGCTGGAAACATCTGATGACTAACACTTTCTAATCCCCCAGTAAGTAATGCAATACATACATTTTGTAAATAAACCACAGAGGACATCACCTTCAAAAGTTGTCATATAGAATCGAACCTCTTTGTCTCCAAAAATGCATTTTACCCACTGCAGTCACTGTGTTGGGCTATAGATTATTTAGGCACACAAATTGCAACAGGCAAAATAAATTCATCATAAAAATCATAATGTAGGCTACACATTATGATTCTTAAACGAACGACAGAAAAGTTGGAAATGAATGTTTCAACACGCCAAGTTAATGAAAGACTACCGCCTAACTCATCGCAAAAAGTTGGTATAAAAGGTTCCACAAGCTATAAACCATCACGAAGGATTTAATTCAGTAGCCTAAAAGGAAATGCCATACTGGCCCAGTTCGAACATTACCTAAAATGTAGTTAGCCTAAGAGTTTTTCTTTTTTTATTTCTTACCGTAAGTCGACTGTCACTTTTTGTCCAGCGCTGCACCGGTGCTTCAACATGTTTTATGTTTTTTTCCCCTAAAAGACTGTGTTGGTCAGGCAAAATCCATCGTACCGACTTTTCACCTCTGAGTGTGAAGCGCACCTGAACGTTACACCCGACTGCGAGAACTGCCGCTTCTCCTTCACACACGCACACATCTTCCTTGTTCCATCCTCTTCCGACTTCATCTAATTTAGCCTAACTTCTCAGAACCAAACTTTTTTTGAATAACTAAAAGCAGCGCTGTCTAACAATAGGCTATAGCCTACAGGAACCTGATCAGGTTCACTAAAAATAATAATCATGGTTTTAGAGTCTACAGATTTGATGTCATAAAAAAAAAAACATCATGGGATATATCGTCTGTAGTTAGTTATTGAAAAGTATATATGCTGTGTTAACAGTGAATGCAGGACTGTGTTTGTTTCTGAGCAGTGAATCATCTTGATGTTGCCAAGCAGACAACACTGTCCTGCAATATATTTTATCCACTAGGCCTACAGTTAAATGTATACAGGCTTGCCATGGTGGTAAGCATATTTGTCATCATTACCTTTGCCTAACAAGGCTGTAGCTACTGCATGACCTGTAAATGTTGTCGTCGCTGGAAACAGCATGCTACAATAGTGTGAGCAGAGTGATGTTGTAAGGGTTGGTGACTGGAAAAAGTTATAGGAGCTATATTTAGGGTATCGCCCCCTGTGATGGCTGCTGTATGTAACTGGGTGGTGGAATAAAATCAGCTCAGCATGTTTCTTAATCTCTTACTGCATGAGTCATTTCAGACTACAGACAGATCTTTATGTGTGAGCGTGTGTGTGGGGTTATACACAGGAAGTGGTTTAAGATACATCAAGCCAAATGAGAGAGAAGCAAAGGCCAGGCAATGATGTGATGTGAAAAATGTTTGCATGTTAAGTCTCCACTTGAGCTTAATCCATTTGTCTCTGTGTTTTATTGGCCCCTGAAGAATTATCTATGTGAATTAGTTGTCAAATAAAGGTGACAGATATGCATCGGCCCCCACCTGAGTAGCGAGAAGGGCTCTCTGTCTCTTTCTCTGTTGGTTTCTCTCTCCCAGGGACCAATAAAACTCTGAGGCTGACAGATGTAGCTCCTGTCCAAGCACAAATGGAGACATTAGAAACAAATATTTTCCACCTTCTTGTCAGAGGTCTGCTTCTCTTTTCAGTCAGCCAAACAAGACTTTGACCACTTCCTGCACACACAGCCCTAACACAGTAGACCTACACTGTTCCTCCAATATGTTTGCTGGAGCACAGCGGATTTGTCAAAGGCAACACGTATTGCACACTGAATGACTATGAGATATACTGCACACATAGAAACAGACACTCAAACCGAGGCAGAGCTGAGCCGGCTACACTTTCCATCCTGCACTACTTTGATGAACTCTGTTTAAGGAGAAGTTGAGAGAGATTATAAATTGACATTTTGGTAGTTGCTATTACTCGCCCCCACACTGCTATCATCCGAAAGTTGCTTAGGTGCCAAGAGGCTTTTGTTGTCATGGTGATAACCAAATTGTGGCCATCACAGCTAAATGATACTGCAAAGCAAACTCCTGCATCCTACCGTACACTCACAGCATATTATTCAGCAATGACATTCCTTGAAGGTACACTGCTGCTGAAACATCATTTTGAAAGTAGCCTATTAATGTATGCCTTTTGCTCAAAAATAATATATCAGCATATACTGTTGAACTTTAGAGACTTTTGATACACATAGACCTTTGATAGCACTACTAGTGTTGTAGTACTCAGTCTCAGACATTGAGGACTCGGGATATTATTTCAAGACCAGTCAAGACCATAACTTTGGGAATATCAATAAGTTACTTTTGCATTGTCTGATTTGTTAACATCCTAACTGTGATTGGAAGTAAAACATATTGCTTCAAATGCAACCAATAACCCTAATTAATGACAGTCACCCCTCCTTGCCATGCTTACATTGATTTCAGCTCTTAGTGTTTGTATGTTGGTGTTTTAATGGGAATGTGGATCTTTCAGATCAATTTGAGAAGTACCTAGATCTCGTTCCACATTTTATTGTGTGCTATGCAATGCGGGGAACTGGTCTTGGTCTTGACTCAGTCTCGGTCTCGACTGCTCTCAGCCCCTACAAGTCTTGGTCTTGTCTCGGTCTCGATAAACTCTGGTCTTGGTCTTGACTTTGTCTCTTTTTGGGCAGTCTTGACTACAACACTAAGCACTACTACATAAAAAACGATGGAGCAATAAACCCTTGAGAAGAAATGTGGGCAGCAGTTCAGACAATTCAGGTAAAACAAAAAAAATTGTGATAGCGCTTTGAATAGGCTATATGAAATAAATCATGTAAACTTTGTACAGCCTGTGCCCCAATCAGGCCAACAGTTGTTTAGATGGTACTTGAGAGTGTGATGTAACACATTTAACCAATAGCTCCCCACACTGATGAAACCTTAGGCCCCATCCACACTACTGCGTTTTCGAATTAAAACAGAGACCTTTTGCTACGTTTGCACCTCCCGTCCAGACTACAACGATGAAAACGAAGACATAAAACGGAGAAGTTTGGAAACGCTGCCGACCCCGTTTTGCGTTTAAAAACTCGGGAGGGCGTTTTAGCGAAGACGGGCTAAAACGGAGGACTTTAGAAACGATGCCGCAGCCGCTCACGCTGGGCTCTCTGATTGGGTCTTGCCAAGCAGAAACACAATGCTGCTGACCAGGTTTTTGACATCATATTTTTAAATAAAATATGAAAAATGTATAGTGCAAATAACACTCATCTGCCTACACTTGTACTGTGGATGTCGCAGTTTACTTTGCAACAACTCCCAGTCTGTTTTCTGACGCCACACTCTCTTGTTACATTCAGTAACAGTCCAAGCTTGTTATTGATCCATGCAACAACAACAAAAAACTGGTCTGATGCTTAGTCTGTAGGATTTATTTATTCTTTCGCCAAATCTTCTGTAACTACGGAATAGACCATCTGCTTCACGTTTACACTGGCACGCGCATGCCCAGTGCACCTGAACGGGTCCTAGTTGTGCGTTTTCAGTCTTTTAATGTAGACAGAGATCAACTCCAAAACGCAGCGGAAAGGCTGGTGTGGACAGAGGTCGTATTCCCTTTAATTCTCAGTTTGTAAACTAAAACGGGGTAGTGTGGATGGGGCATCAGTCTCTCTTTGATTTTAAAATTTAAATAGTTAACGTTACAAGCCACGTTACTCCCTTATTTTCTATTTGTTAACTTTTCTAATGTGAAATTACAATTTAGAAACTTTAGTGTGATGTCAACCCTGGTTTCAGTGCCAGTAATCGCTCACTACCCTTCAGGATGGTTATTTGGTTTGATGAATGATGAATGAATTCTTAAATAACATTAGGTTAAAATGTTATCAGTACCAGAGGCGTTTTCAGTACTTATGTATTATTTGATTCTTTGCCATTATCCTTGTTTTTGTAATGCATTGTATTATATTGTGTGAATAAAGTTTTGATAAAAAAAGGGGGGCATAAAAAAGTGCGCTTTACGTTAGTAAAACACATCCAGCACTGACGTGGAAGGGTTATTTCTCTGCTACTTATATTTTTTTGTTCATGGTTAGTTTTGTGATTTGAATTAATGTATTTTATCTGTCCGTCAATGCCTGGGTGTTTTTAGAGAATAGTTAACAAAAAGAAAACCTTTTTAAGAGCATGAAGGACAAGTTGCTAACGTTAATTTGCTAGCTAGCTTAAACTTTGCAGTCAGTCAAGCTATTTATTAACGATAGTTTGCTTTTTTACTCACTGCCTGACTTGCTAAATAATTTGATAAGTCATGGTATGCATTTGTTTATTCTAGCAGGTCGAGCGACCAAAATGACGACCGCGGATATTGTTTATGACAAGATCCACTTCAGACATGACCCAAAGTGGAGCGGCCGCCTGGGACCTGCAGAGGGGGGCGGGCTGCTGCTCTGTGTGGCCTGTGTCATTGAAATGCTTGAGAGTGATGATGTCGCGGTGAAGAATATATGATACTTACTATACTACATGAAACGTGTTTTATCTTATTTCAATATCTAGCTTTCCTCTTACAAAAATGTATCAGTCCGTCATTTGGCTGGATGGTGTTTTGTTAAATTATAGGTGTGTGTAATCTACAAGCATAACGTTAGCTGCTTTAGGCACTTTTTAGGATTGAACAGAAAGTATTTTTGGAAAATACATTAGCCTGGTAATTTCCCTTGATGCACAGCAGGCTTTATTTACCCTCTCTTGTTTCTCTCTCCCCCTCTGTCTCTGTTACACAGTCAGTGAGGAAGTCTTTTGCCTTGTCTGGTATCAGTGGTGTGTTGAGGTGTTCTCCGGGGGCCCTGAGAGAGCTTCTGCGGCAGGACCCCAAAATCTCTCTACGTTTTACATCTTCTCTGCTGGGTGAGAAATAATGGCACATGCAGTATTAGATTATGGTGTAAAGGAAGGACTCGCAAGAATTATTAGGAAGCACCGGACTCTCACCTGCTCTCTCCCGGGTGGGTTAGTTAGCTGATAAGTCATAATATAGGTATGTGTTTGAAAGGTCAAAAAACATGAGGACACAACAGTAAGTGTGACTGAACAGTGCTGCACAGACCCCCCACTCGATACTGACGATAGCTAACCAGCATTGGTTGTTCTAGACATCCTGCTGGCTTGAGTCTGATTATATGACCTTCCTTCTCATTGGTTCTAATCTCCACTGGGTCGTCGTGCTAGAGCTGCAGTCACATCACTGCTTTTCTGCAAGGTCAGAACCAAGATAATAAACGTTATCACAGCAGCAGGATATTTAATGCCGTTTTATTAAAGAATAAAAAAGATTCACAGATAAAAGAGTTGACATAGTTTCTTTCATGTTATAGGCATACAAGTTCTATCTATGGTAGGATTAAACCAATACAAAACATTTTCACTGATGAATAGTTTATAGTTTATTTTTGTTTTAACTAATTGATAATCTACAAATCATTTACACAGGTTATATTGAAGTGGACAGCTTTGTTTCTGGTTGTCTAAATATTGTTATTATATTCTGGTGCTTTTCCACCCTATCAAAAATCTTTGTGCGAAAGAGTTAGGACAGATTGGCACAAAAGATCAGCTATTGGCACCTTTTATCTTAAAAATACCATAATCAGCCTGAAAAATGTGCAAGTGCATTATCCTCACCACAAGTCCTTTATAGGAGATGTTATGAGGATTGCAGGTAGTGTGTTAGTTTATACATTTCTCATACCCACTGCCATAATTATACCGCTGTTTTTATAGTACAGTATCATCAGAGGATATTACTGATACTTTCTCCTCACTGGGTAGATTTCACTAGGTTATTGCAGCATAAAGTATTAGCCCTATACCTTTTGATCTATAATCAAATTAGTGCAATGAGAGGATGTGTGGCAAAATGGTAAGCTGGCAAAACCTCTGACCAATACGACAAGACATTAAAAGAGCCATTACAGTGCTTGTGGGATGGTCTACTGAACTGAGCTTGTG